GGCCGTCTTGGGGCCCTCTTGGGCCGTCTTGGGCGCCTCTGGGGCCGCCTTGGGGCCCTCTTGGGCCGTTTTTGGGGCCTCGTGGGAGCCTCTTGGGTCGTCTTGGGGCGGGCGGTCTTGGGGGCCTCTTGTGCCGTCGTCAGCGCCGTGAAAGCCGACAAGCCGCACATGCTAAAAATGTACGCTTTCGATAAGAATTTAATGATTTTAGCATCTTGGGGCCCTCTTGGGACGCCTCTTGGGGGCCTCTTGGGGCTTCTTGGGGGGCTCTTGGGGCCTCCTGGGAGCATCTTGGGGCGAAAGGCTAAACATTTCAATGTGTGGTCCCCCTCTTGGGGCCGTCTTGGTGCCCTCTTGGGCCGTCTTGGGGGCCTCCTGGGAGCCTCTTGGGGCGATCTTGGGGGCCTCTTGGACAGCCTTCAACGCCGTGAAAACCGAAAGGCCGCACATGCTAAAAATGTAAGTTGCCATAGGTAAGCAAATGAATGATTTTGGCCTCTTGGGAGCCGCTTGGGGTGCCTCTTGGGCGCCTCTCGGGGCGTCTCGGAAGCCTCTTGGGCCGTCTTTGGGCCGCCTTGGGCATGTTGGACCGTCTTGGAGCCGTCTTGGACCCAAGAGGGCCCAAGAGGCCCAAGAAGCGCCCAAGAGGCCTCCAAGACGCCCCGAGCGGCCTTTAGGTCCCATCCCTCCGCCCCTCCCCCCCTCTGCCCTCCCCCTACGACATCACTCGTACCTCGCTCTTTCTGTTACCCGCCGCCCCCTGTCGATTTATCGCAGGGGTGCCTGGCGTGCTGAATCCGCTCGGTTTTGGCTTTGGTTCTTTTTCCAAAAGAACTCCCCCTGGGGCTTCGGCGCGTTCTGCCGGGGTCGCGGAAGGCCGCGTAAACCACCTCAGCATCCACAACAAATCCTCCAAGACGGCTCAAGATGGCCTCCAATATGGTCACGTTGGCTCAAGATAGCCTCCAAGATGGTCTCCAAGTTCGCCCAAGATGGCCCAAGACGGCCTCCAAGACGGCCCAAGAGAGGCCAAGACGGCCCAAGAGGCCCCCCGGAGGCCTCCAAGACGGCCCCGAAGGCCTCCAAGAGGTCCCCCGAAAAGGCCAAAATCATTGATTGTCCGTAGTTTTTTGAAGGATTTTGGCATTCGCTTCTTCTCGTCTTTCCGACGACCCAGGACGGCCCAAGAGGCCGCCAAGATCGCCCCCACAGCGCCCAAGAGGCCTGCAAGATTGCCTCAGGACTGCCCAAGAGGCCCCCAAGACGGCCCCAAGAGGTCACAAAGACGACCCAAGGGGCCTCCAATACGCCCAAGATGGCTTCTAAGACGGCCCTGGAGCACCCCAAGAGGGCCCCACGTCGGCACAGAAAGGCCCCCCCAACGGCTTCCGACGGCGTCGGACGGGCCAAGAGCCCACCAAGATAGCTGAAGTTGGCTCGAAGCTGGCCCAAGACGGCCCAAGAGGCTTCCAAGAGGGCCTCCAGGAAGGCCAGAAAATGCCAAACACATTGATTGCCCTTAGGTTTTTCAAGGACTTTGAGATTTGCTTTGTTTCGGCCTTCCGACGGCCCGATACGGCCCAAGAGCCCCAAATATCGCCCAAAGATCACTCAAGAGGCCTCCAAGATGGCCCCAGAACGGTCCAAGAGGCCCCCAAGACGGCCCCAAGAGACCCCCAAGACGGCCCAGGAGGCCTTTAAGACCCCCAAGAAGGCCTCCAAGACGGCCCTGGAGCACCAGAGAGGCCCCCCAAACGGCTTCCGACGGCGTCAGACGGGCCAGGAGCCCACCAAGACGGCTGAAGATGGCCCTAAGATGGCCCAAGACGGCCCGGGGCTTCGGCGCGTTCCGCCGGCCACCTGAAAAGGATCTCAATCCCCAATTGTTCCTCCAAGACCGCTCAAGATGGCCTCCAAGATGGCCACGTTGGCCCAAGATGGCCTCCAAGATTGTCCAAGATGGCCTCCAAGACGGCCCAAGAGGAGTAGGTGCCTCCAAGTCCGCCCAAGAAACCTCCAAGACGGCCCAAGACGGCCCAAGAGGTACCCAAGAGGCCTCCAAGACGGCCCAAGAGGCCTCCGAGAGGTCCTCCAGGAGGGCCCGAAGAGGCTAAAATCCATTAGGTTTTTAAACAGTTGTTCGTACTTGCTCCTCGGCCAAGAGGCCTCCAAGAGGACCCCCACAGCGCCCAAGAGGCCTGCAAGATTGCCTCAGGACTGCCCAAGAGGCCCCCAAGACGGCCCCAAGAGGGCACAAAGACGACCCAAGAGGCCTCCAATACGCCCAAGATGGCCTCTAAGACGGCCCTCAAGCACCCCAAGAAGGCCCCAAGTCGGCCCAGATAGGCCACCCAAACGGCTTCCGACGGCGTCAGACGGGCCAGGAGCCCACCAAGATGGCCGAAGTTGGCTCGAAGCTGGCCCAAGACGGCCCAAGAGGCTTCCAAGAGGGCCTCCAGGAAGGCCAGCAAAAGGCCACAAACACTGATTTTCCGTGGGTTTTCGACTGATTTTGACATTTGCTTCTTTGCGGCCTTCCGACGGCCCGATACGGCCCAAATATCGCCCAAAGATCACTCAAGAGGCCTCCAAGATGGCCCCAGAACGGTCCAAGAGGCTCCCAAGACGGCCCCAAGAGACCCCCAAGACGGCCCAGGAGGCCTTTAAGACGCCCAAGAAAGCCTCCAAGACGGCCCTGGAGCATTCCAAGAAGGCCCCAAGTCGGCCCAGAGAGGCCACCCAAACGGCTTCCGACGGCGTCAGACGGGCCAGGAGCCCGCCAAGACAGCCGAACATGGCCGTAAGATGACCCAAGACGGCCCAAGAGGCCTCCAGGGCGTCCAGAAGGCCCGAAAATGCCAAAATGAGTTTTTGAAGAATTGTGGCGTTTGCTGTTTTTCGGCCTTCCGACGGCCCGAGAGGGCCCAAGTGCCCCTAAAGATCGCCCAAGAGGCCCAAGACGGCCCCAAGCGGCCCCCAAGACTGCCCAAGAGGCCTCCAAGCGCTCAAGATGGCCTCCAAGACGGCCCAAGAGCCCTCCAAGACGTCCTCCAAGAAGGCCCGAAAGGGTCAAATTGGTCTCCAGGCGGCCAAGATGACCTTCAAGATGCCCACGTGTTCCCCGAAGGCTTTCCAAACCGATTCGGGGAACACATGGTCCGATACGTGGCAGGTCTGGCCTCAACGTTCGGCCACATAGGCGCTTCCAAAAAGGCAGGGGGCGGCGGTGATTCGCCGTAGGCGTCTTCGATAATATATCCGCCACCGTGCCGCTGGGCATGGAGTGGGCGTGTCCTCAAGTCCTTTGCCCAATCCCCTGAGCCTCGGTCCTCGACCCTTGGGGCCCAAGTGGCCCCCTGATCCAAAAGTAACAAATCTCGCTGGGCTTGACGCGTGCCCCCTTAGGCTTACGGCGGCTCGTCGCGTGACTTTTTCGGGCCCAAGACCGGCCAAGAGGCCCCGAAAACGGTCCAAGAGGGCCCCGAGTCGCCGAACGATTGCTACAAGACGCTCAACATGGCCCAGGCAGCACAAGAGACCTCCAAGACGCTCCAAGAGTCCTCCAAGATGCCCAAGAGGCCAAAATCTTGCATTCCCTCAGGTTTGGAAGGTTTTGGCGTTTTCACCTTTTCGGCTTCCCGACGCTGCCAGACGGCCCTAGAGGCCCCCAAGATCGCTCTTAGACCGCCCAAGAGGCCTCCAAGGGGGCCCCGAAGCAACCCAAGAGAGCCCCACGACTGCCCCAGAGGCGCCCCAAGACGGCCCAAGAGGCCCCAAAGACGGCTCCAAGAGGGGGCCCCGATGGGGGTCCCGAGCGGACACTTCGAGCCCTCGGCCCCGAGGGGCCCCCAGGAAGCCCCAATAGGCCCTCGCGAGGCCCCCACGAGGCCCCACGAGGCCCCCAAGAGGCCCCAAGAGGCCCCCAAGAGGCCTCAAAATGCCTCCAAGAGGCCCCCGAGGGCGCTTCGAAGAGACCCCAAGAAGCATCCCTGAGAACTCTAACCCACAATCCAAGTACGGTGGCGGGATGGGCCGAAGGCCATACAAGAAGAAAGTCTTGCTGTAAGTAATATGACGGCACATTTGTCCTCGATCGTCGAGCTTCTTGCGGTGCCCCAGGGCTTCTGCGGGCCTCCAGGACCACCAGAGGGCACTTGCCAGCAAGTCGGTTTCTTACTGGATGTGCCGACTGCGCGCGTAGCCCAAGACCGCGTGGCATCGCCGACGCATCGGCGGTGCGGCGCGGTCCTGTGCTCGAGGCCTTGCCCTAGGGCCCTGGGGGCCTGTGGCACCAGCATCCGCCGCGCCCGCCCGAGGCCCAGATGGTCCCGCCGGGAATGCTGCCTCGGCGCGGAGAGACGTCCCCGGAAGCCTGGACCAGCGGCCCGCCCAGGGGGGAAGTGAGAGGGGGCAGGGCTTCTCAGAAGGCGGCGGGGCTTCGGGTGAGGCTCAGGGAGCCTTGTGAGAAGACCCGAGGCCTCCTCGAAGGCCCAGGAGAGGAGAAAGCCAGCTGAGATCGCTCATCGAGCCTCGATCCTCCTTCTCTTCCGGCAAGTGCTTGCGCGGCTTCAGGCCGGCGCTTAAGGGGTCGCCCCGCAGATTACGGTGGGGTCGCGCGGGGATCCAGCAGCAGAAGCGTGCTGTTCGCATTCTGGAACACTCCCCCTATACCGTGTCGCTGCGGGCGTCCCGTCGGTCGTCGTGTCGTGTGTTGTTGCCATCTTCGTCCGTCGTCGTCGTCATCATCGCTGGTGGCCGCCTGGTTTCTTTTCTGCCTGGATCTCGCACGTCCCGTCGCGGGCGAGCGCGAAGCCAACCTATAACCCTAGAGTGCTCCTTCCTCCTCTTCCTCGACCCTCTTCATCCTCGACCCTGCTCGTCTTCGATCCTTCTCCACAATCGCGATCCTGGAACCTCGGTGTTCGGTTCACTTCTCCAGTCTATTTTCTCCTCCTCCTCCTCGTCCTCCTCCTCCGCCTGGGGAGGGTGGCGCGGTTTGCGGCCGCCCGAGGGTCTCCACCATGAGCGGCGGGCCCGCGCCGCCTGCGGGCGGTGGGCCCCCAGCGGCCTCCGGGGGCAGGTAGGAGAAGCCCGCGCGCGAGAGCGGCTCCTCGCGCGCCACCTGGGGGGGCGCTGCAGGACAGGGCCTCGCCCGGGAGGGCTCGAAGCAGCTGGCATCTCTTCGTCGGCGGAAGGCGGCGGGAGGCCAAGCGGGAGCAAAAATCGGCCCTTCGAGAGATGACAACCTTTTTTCGGCTCGGCGTTTCCAGAGCGGTCCACCTGGAGGTGGGGGCCGTGCTGCGGCAAAGACCCTCGAGGGTCCAGCATCTATGCATGCTGAACTTTTTGGGGGAAGCGTTTGTACCATGCTCTTGTTTTGGGCACCTCTTCGGGGATCCCGAGGGCCTCCGGAAGCCATCTGAAGGCCCCCTGGGGACAGCGGGGGCCGTTCTGCTTTTCCCCTCTTCCCCCTGCTTCCCCCAGACATCTACAGCTTCGATGTTCTAGATGCGTGGGATACCAGACCTTTCGAACCCTTCCGCACGGTGCTTTGTTCACCCCAGGTGGACTTTTTGATTGCCCCGAAGCCTGGAGCTGGGCGCCAGAGGTCAAGCATTGCTACAAGCTGGCCGCCTCGATCTTTTCGAAGCGTCAGATGCCTGACCCCCCTGCTTCTGCGAATGCTTGCGCACGACGTCGACGTCCTCGTCTCGGAGGCTTCTCGGCCGCTCTTGGCTCGGGAAACCGGCCAGGGCGGACCCCGGCAGGGTCCCATGGTCAACTCTTGGGCGGATGCGCTACGGCCAGACCTAGGCCAGAAGACCACCCCTCAAGAACATGAGACCCTCCGCCGGCCAAAGCTCCCCAAACCAGAAAATCACCGAGGGTACCCTCCCCCAAGATGCACAAGAACATCCAAGAAACACGGAAAACATTAGGAACCCCGCCCGATCCGACCTCGATCTTCAGCCTCGGTCCGGCCGTGTTTGCCTCCGACCTTCGACGATCGATGGGGTCAACTCCCAAACCTTGTCGGGAAGACTGGGGGGCACCTTTGACCCTTCTTTGGGCCTCGGAGGCCTCCCGGGACCTCCGCGGATGCCTCCCACCTTCGACGATCGAGGGGGTCCATTCCCAAGCGCTGTCGGGAGGACTGGGGGCATCTCTTTGGCCCTCCCCTGGGCCTCTGGAGGCCTCTCGGGGACCTCGGGTGGTCAGGATCTGGGGCGCTGCTGCAGTGAGACTCACCACCGTCTCCTCCCTACTCGCCCTGCTTTCCCGGAGGAGCGCCGTATCCGACTCCCGTCAGGCGCGAGCGACTGTTGGTCGGAGCGTTCCACGGAATCCTGAGAAGCTCATCGGCTACCACTAAAACTCCTTCAGGCACTGCGCGAGCCACCCCGAAGCCTGGCGGCTCCAACTGCGCAGTCTGGCCCGGTCCTTTCCTTTTCCATTCCGGCCCCTCAGGGCAGGTCCGCGCTCGCACCGCCTGCCCGGCTCGGCCACGCGGCGCTGGCCCCTGCTCACAGGCGGGCCTCCTGGCGCCCAGCCTGTGCACCCTCCCGGTGGCCGAGGGCCTGTCAGCTGGAGCCCGACGCTGCTGCTGCGGGGTCGCCCGGCCTTGAGCCCCCGGGAAGGGGTCCTCCTCCTCCTCCTCCTCCTCCTCCTCCTCCTCCTCCTCCTCCTCCTCCTCCTCCATTCCTTTTCCTGATAAAGACCTCTTCCCTGTCGCATCCCGAGACGGGTCGGTGGGGCGGGCCAGGCGTTTCGCCTGAGACTTCATCACCACTTACGATCCTGGAGCTTGGGATTGGCAACAGTTTCACGGATGGAGGGCGGGTCGTTCTCAAAATGTGGCTCTCCCTTCGAGTAGCGCACACTCGTCTTAAAAGTTTGGGATGGCGGTTTATTTTCAAAATGTGGCTCTCCCCTTCGAGACGCGCACACTCGCCAAAACAGGTTACAGCCGATTCAAAGGGTCTTATGGCTAACGTCCCAGAGATTCTGTTTTGGCCTGATGTAGGTCTGTCAGGTCGCGACAGTCATGTTGATTCGCGGTGTTGACGTCCCAGAAACGGCGCTCTGGCACGATTTAGGATCGTCAGGTCGCAACGCTAGCATTGATTCGTGGCGTTCCAGTCCCAAGAATGGCGCCTTGGCACGGCGAAGATTTTCAGACTGTTGTCTCCCAACGGGGCTCTTCCCGCAGTGAAAATACATGCTTCTAGGAGCTTGTGAAAAGGGAACTTGGAGGGAGGATTAATTGCAACATCGTTGATGAGTCTTGGGCTTACACTAGTTCTCCTCCACTTCCTCCTCCTCCGCCTCCTCTCCTTGCTATATTACAGCGCCTGCTTTGCCCGACGTCCGGGTCATACCTCTACCACGTAGTGAAGCTGCTGTGTGTCTTGATCTTGCCGTCCCATGCTGCGGAACAACAATCCCTAACAATTCGCTGACGATGTCCTCCAGAGCCATGCGGACTTCAATAACGCTACGGGTTTCCGAAAGAACCCGAAGGATGTCCTATCCAGAATCCTCCAGCTTTGCTGAGGATCCCCTTGGAATTCCAAAGGAATCCCAAGGATTTCCATTGGATTCCCGAAGGAAAGGACACCCTTTGGAATCCGGAGGGATCCTGCTAGAACCCTGGAGAAATCCAGAGCAATCCGCATGCTGCCGCTTTTGGAGTCTCAGGAAATCGCGCGGGGTCCTACAGGGTGACTGCAGGAAGCCTGAAGCATTCCTGAGGTGGCATGCGGATTTTCTTGAGATCCTGGGGGAATTCTTGGTGCACCCCAGGGGTCCTGGGGGATTTCTGAGGGATCCTGGGTGATTTCTGGGGGATTTTCTTGAGATCCTGGGGGATTTCTGGGGGATCCTGGGCATTTCGCAGCGGACTTCGCCCTGCGGCGAATTGAGACACCCGCCGATGCGACGCAGCCTCCCGCCCGCGCCCGCGGAGCGAGGCGCCGCCTCCATGCGCCCGGTCCTGCCGCTGCGGGCGCGCCGTGCCCGACACCGCGCCGCGCTCGTCCGACACGGGCATCGGGCGAGAGCCGTTTTGGGAGGGCGGGCCACGGCAGGCTCGTGTCGTGTCGACCCCAGCACGGGCTCCTGACATCGCGGGGCTCGTTCGATCCTGAACGACCGGCCGTTTCCGAGACGTCAAATCGTTCAACATCGACTGGCTCTGGGTCGCAAGCGGCGTTCAACGTTGAACGCTGGCGGCAGGGTCCGGCGGCGGTCGACACGACGCGAACACACCTAAGTGGGCTGAGATTTTGACCCCTGGCTCTCAGTGTGGACGTGGCGGCAGCTGGGATCCCCAGAGGTCAGACAGACCCGAACATCGGCGGCCCAGTTTTCTCTCGGAAGTCAAAAGCAGGGATCGAAGCTTCGGCTGTCGGGGATCTACTGACACGGGTCAATCCAAACCAGGGCCAAGCAAGCCTTGCAAAATCCTGTCATGCCCACAAGATCCTGCAGGATCCGGCGCCCTAACCCGGGTCAGTGCAGCCCTGGCTCTGCAGGATCCTGCAAGCTCCGACGCTCTGACTGACCCCCGTTTGCATTGGCCCCCGTCTCTTGAGACCCGAGGCTGATGCCAAAAGACGCGGCCGGGCCTTGGCGGCGAAGAAGTGGTCCACCAGCAGGCCTGGCATGCGCCCAACGACGACGTAGTGCTTGCCGTCGGCGCGCCCCTCCTCTGGAGGAGGGCACTCCAAGCGTGGGCGCCCGCGGCCCCGAAGGCCAGGCAGACGTCATGACGGCCGCCCGCTCTGGGGCTTAGCTGCCCCGATGCGCAACACGCAGCACGTGGCGTGTTGACACGGAGCGCAGCACGTAGACTGAAAAAGTGAGTCTGACGCGATACGTTCGTCAAAGCGTGGGCCAATACGTCGAGCCAGCACGCAACGCTTCTTCTCCTCGGTGGAACGCACGGTAGGAACATATGCTACACGCGTGGGGCAAACATTGAGTGAACAGCCTTGGGGGCAAACATTCGCACTGCCCGAATGCCGTACCTGTCGCAGCGCCGCTGAGAAGGGGAGTGAGGGAGAGGGAGGAGGAGGAGGAGGAGGAGGAGGAGGAGGAGGAGGAGGAAGAGGGGAGGAGGAGGAGGAGGAGGAGAGGGAGGCCAAAGACATCCCAGATGGCGAATGATACGATTTCCTTTTGAAACGTATCAGCCCCGCGGTTGCACAGAGGTTGTGTTAAACCCCTACTAGGTGGCCCAAACGGCCACACTAATAAATCCGACACAACCGAATGCATCGAACGAACGAACAACCACCAATGCGGACAGCAGTCCAGGCCTACTGGAGACCAGGTGAATGAGGCCGTGGCCTCTGAAATACTATTGTGTATGGTGAGGCGCGCATGCGAGACATGTAAAAAGTCAGGTGAAACGGAGGGGAGGTGAGGAGGGGGAGGAATCCTTACAGTCGACGTCGTGTTGTGTTGGTGCCACGTCGCTGGGTAGAGTCTGTGTTGGTCGTCTGTGCTGGGTTTGGTGTTGGTGTTGGCGCCAGGCGCCGGTAGTCGGTGTTGTAGTGCTTGGTTGTTGGTGGTCGGTGCTTGTGGTCGCGTGGTCGGCCGTCAGCGCTGCATGGCTAGAATCATGCAGCGACGACGGTTCTCTCGAAAAAGTTCGACCATGCCGTCCGTGTCGCAGCTGTGAGCCACCTTACATCGTTGGTGTCGCGGTGGAGGTATCGTCGTGGTTGGGTGGCGTCGTCGTTGGCGTCGCGTTGTGTGTCATCGTCGTCTGTCTGTCGATGCACATTGTGTACGAACTTCCGCAAATCGTCGTCCCATCGCTTGTGCTGGCCACCGTGCTGTCGATAACCCTGTTGGTTGATGTCCCTATTGGGATTCCATTTCAGAGCTCGCTGTGTCCACCTGTTTGGTGGGTGGGTCGCTACGCGTGCTGCCCACTGCCAAACCATTTTGCGATGCATTTGGGTGACGTCTGGGATGTCGTGCATGCTCATGAGTTCCTCCGCTCTGCAGGTGCACCGGCGGATGTAGTCAGACCAGAGTTCGGCATCGTCTGCCGCCTGCTGGCGTGTCTGGGTCGTGTGGGGTGGGTCGATGCTGTCGTCACTTGTTTGGGGTGGGTCTGATGGAGTCGGCGGGTCGCTGGAAGCGTCGTGGTCGCTGGAGTCGTTAGAAGCGTTACCGTCGAGATCATCGTTGTCAGAGTTACCCATCGCTGGGATAGCATGCGTTGACGAAGCTGCTGACGTGTGTCGCCGCGGTGTCCCGATAATCGCTCTGACCATCCGTCGTTGCGTGCGGCGCAACTGCTGTTTGAGGGGTTATGTTATTGTCCATGACTCTGCGCCGTACATCATTGTGGGTATGACGGTGCCACGGTACAGTCGTAGTCTGTGTTTGAGTGGGTAGCGCTTGCTCGTTAGTTCCTGTCTGCGCCCTGTGAAGCACGCCCATGCCGCTTGGATGTGCTGCTGGATTTCGGTCGCCAATGCGTCTGGCCGAGATCTTTCAGCTTTCTGGAAAGTGGTAATACTCGATGTCCATGGTTGCAGCTCTCGCCGAACGCGTCCAGGTCCTGGTCCGGTTTGTCATGATCTTTGTTTCGGTCGGGTGTATTTCAAGGCCGTGAGGAGCAGCTGCCTTGATTAAGTCCCCAAGCAGTGTCTTCAAATTGGGTAGTGTCTAACTGACCAAGAGGATGTCGTCGGCGAAGCGGAGGTTGGTAAGAACAGATTCGTTTGTGTGCGCTAATTGTATTCCTCGTCGTCGTCGCTGCCAATCCGGGATGCGAGGTTCCAGGGCGTAAGGAGGAAGAAGAAGAAGGAGGAGGAGGAGGAAGAGGAGGAGGAGGAAGAGGACGTGAAACGCAAAGCGCCCTTGGCAACCCGTATGGTTGACCAGCGAATGCCGGGAAATGCATCAAAACAGCGTCAGGCCTGTCGAACAACAGGCGAGAGAGGAGAGAGGAAGCAGAGGAAGAGGGGCGCAACCACAGATCATCGAGGACGCCAGGGAGCATTGAGATACCTGGTCGACCCACTATGCCCCGTCACGGCGTTACGACAATGTTGCATCAGCTCTTGCACGGCTTATGTACGGTAGCTCCCGGTGGACGTACCTTGCACCTTCGGCGAATACCGCCGCCGATTCGTGGTCATGTAGATGCCATCTACCAAGATGGTCCGGTACGTTTGCTCGGCCTCCGACTGGTACCGAGCTACGCCCAGCATGCCCTGCTTGCGCGCGTGCTGAGCCAACACGCAAAGTATTGGGGCGGACGTCTCGAGCACGGTACGCGCTGCGTATCAAAGCGGGCGGATCGAGGCAGCTGAGCTCTGGGGCTGCAGGCGGCGCGCTTTGCGCCTCGCCCCCGCCGCAGATCGACGCGCGCGGGAACTCCTGCGCAACGGCGGGGTCAGGAGATCCGTAGTCGTGTCTCTCTTCTTCGCTAGCGCAGCGGGGGCCTGCACAGCCAATGGGGGAGGGGCAAGGACTGGCTGAAGACGAGGATGGGGAGGAAGAGAAGGAGGGGGAGGAGCAGGACGAGAGGGAAGGGAAGCACAGACGAAGAGGGGGTCAGTGGGAACAGGAAGAGGGGGAGGATGAGGCCAGCCTGGGACAGAGAGGCCCTGTACTGCCTTGCTGCGGAAAACCCTCGTCGTGCCGTCGGGTCCGTCAAGCATGGCCAGAAGGAAGGGGAGGGGGGGTGGAGGGGTATGAAGAGGAGGAGGAGGAGGAGGAGGAGGAGGAGGAAGAGGACAAGGGGGAGGAGGACCAAAATAAACGCAATCAAGACCACCGATGCCGTAATACAACTTCCCGTCCCCAGCCACCTCCTTCTTCGCCCCTGCAAACCGCTACGCAGACACCCACCCCCCGAATTCAGGGGGGAGCTCGGTTTTGAGAACAACGCCCTCCGTCCTTCAAGCGCTAAGTAATGCAACAATATAGAGCTCAAATGAAAGCACGGGGCTGTCGTGTTTGCACATGTTTCAACTTCTGCTTGTAAAGCCTAGCGAAGCTTCAAGCGAGAACCACATGTTCACAAGGAGCCGTTCTCTATTGACTGTTCCGCAACTTCACACGCGTAATAATGCTTGCGGGGAAGATCGCAGAAAGGAGCCCCATTTTGAAACGGAGCTGACCTGCATTCGTGTGGAGGCTGGAAGCTTTTAGTGCAAGTGTGCGTGGCGGTCGGGCGAGAGCCACATCTCGAAGACGTGCCAGCCTCCAACAGCCTTCACCGGTGTAACGGCTTGAAGCTTTTGGGACGAACGAGCACGGCGCAAGAACGATAACCATAGTTTGAGCAGGCACCGCCCTCCAACCGTGTAGTCGTTCGAATTGCCAGGTGTTGGGATGATCTGACGCAGGAGGGTGTCAAGCGAAACGCCCAGCCCAGGCAACGGACACGTCTGGTGGTGCGATAGGAAAAGGTTATATGTAAGGACGAGGGACGGGTGATGACGGTGAGGACAACAAGGAGGAATCTGAGGATAATGAGAAGGAGAGTGAGAATAAAGAAGAGGAGGAGAGGAGAGGAGAAGGATGAGGATGAGAAGGAGGAGGAGGAGGGGAAGGAGGAGCACGGAAAAGATGAGGACGAGGAGAAGGCACAACCAACACGTCTGAGCGCGCCGAGAATGGAACATGGACAGGCAAAGACAATTCGAAAAGAAGAGATCGCGCACGCAGCGAGATAAATATGCCAAGCGAAACGCACGAGGAGAGCCCATGCGATCAGCGAGATGAGGAGGAGGAGGAGGAGGAGGAGGAGGAGGACGAGGGGGAGGGGGAGGGGGCAAGCTAGGTGCGCTCGCGTCATATCTGACGTCCTACCCCTCCCTCCCATCCCTTACCATGGCGCTGATTTTCTCTATCCGCGGACGCGTGTCGTAGCGGACCTGTGGCTCCGCGCGCGCGTGCGTAGTGGGTGGTGGTGCACGTGCGTGCGTGCGTGCGTGTGTGCGTGGTTGTCGTTGTGTGGTGGTGGTGGTGGTGGTGGTGGTGGTGGTGGTGGTGGTGGTGGTGGTGGTGGTGGTGATGGTGGTGGGGTGGTGCTGGTGGTGGTGGTGGTGCTGGTGGTGGTGGTGCTGGTGGTGGTGGTGTTGGTACTGGTGGTGGTGGTGGTGGTGGTGGTGGTGGTGGTGGTGGTGGTGGTGTGGTGGTGGTGGTGGTGGTGGTGGTGGTGTGGTGGTGGTTGGTGGTGGTGCTGGTGGTGGTGGTGGTGGTGTTGGTACTGGTGCTGGTGCTGGTGGTGGTTGTGGTGGTGGTGGTGGGTGGTGTGGTGGTGATGGTGGTGGTGGTGGTGCTGGTGGTGGTGGTGGTGGTGGTGGTGGTGGTGGTGGTGGTGGTGGTGGTGGTGCGGTGCGGCGCGGTGGTGGCGGGCGGATGGGCGCGCGAGAAAGAGGCCCGCGCTGGGGCGAGAACGCCATCCTGAACGACGGAGGCCAAACACCGATCCGAAAATGAGGCCCACGCTGCAGCGGGAGCACGATTCGGAACGATTCGGGAGCAGAAATGAGGCCGGCGCCTCAACGAGAGCAGCATTTTGGGAAAAAATGACGCCGGCGCCTCAGCGAGAGTCGTTTCCCGGGATTTTCCGGGCATCCTGTGTGTAAAAAAACAGTACGCGGAGGGTGCGCGGCTATCACCCGGACGCCATCAGAGGAAGGATTCGGGAGCAGAAATGAGGCCGGCGCCTCAACGAGAGCAGCATTTTGGGAAAAAATGACGCCGGCGCGAGAGCAGCATTTTGGGAAAAAATGACGCCAGCGCCTCAGCGAGAGTCGTGTCCCGGGATTTTCCGGGCATCCTGTGTGTAAAAAAACAGTACGCGGAGGGTGCGCGGCTATCACCCGGACGCCATCAGGGGAAGAGGGAGAGTATATTCATATTGAGTAATTGTAGAAGGGGGCGCGGAGGAGAGCGAGGCGGACGAGGAAGGAGGACGAGAAGGGAGATGTGGATATGAGGGGGGGGGGGGGGGGCGAAGGGCGGAGGGCTGGAAAAATCATTGGGAAGGCAAAAAGTCAGCATGAAGAGGTGGGTGACGATGAGGTGGAGGGGGACAGCGGGATACTGAGGAAGAACAACAGGAGGAACGGGCGGGGAGAGGGGAGAGGGGGGAGGAGGGGGATGCGGAGGGCTGGCAGTATCACTGGGAGGAATACAGGGTATGAAGAGGAAGAGAACGAGGAGTACGAGGGGGATGACGATGAGGAGTAGGGTCGCCCGAAGAAGAAGAGGCAGTGGCGGGCGGGCGAGATCGGCACCCCTCCTATCACCAGAGCATGACTCATCGACAGATCACCAGGTTAGGCTTGCTCATCATCTGCAACATTAGCATGTGCAGACAAGCGAAAAACGCTTTCGAATTATTGAATGAAAAAACCGTGACCACACCAACAGACACCGCGGTTGTGGAAAAGAGGAAACCGGAGTCGGAGAGAGAGAGAGAGGCGAGCCGATTATTCCGTAGCCATTTTGGCTCAAGTCCATGGGACACCCGACGACCGCGAGTCCCTCGCGGGCGCCATCCGAGCGCGCGGGGTCTCGCGCCCTGGGCCAAGGGACGACAACGCCTCCGAGCGCTCGCGGCCGCGCCGCCGCCCTCCTCCTCCTCCTCCTCCTCCTCCTCCTCCTCCTCCTCCCTCCTCCTCCTCCTCCTCCTCCTCCTCCTCCTCCTCCTCCTCCTCCTCCTTCTCCTCCGCCTCCTCCTCCTCGCCTCACTCGCGGAGGCGCCTTCTCGCCTTGCTCGCGGAGGCGCCTTGCCGTGGAGGCGGCGCGGGCGGCGGTGGCCAGCCGGGCAGGCTTGCGAGCGGCGCCGGAGGCCAGACGGCCAGGCCCGCGGGCGAGGGAGCGTCCAGGGGGCCGCAGTCGCTGGGGGTCGGCGCCGCTTGCCGCGCCAGCGGGCGCGCCCCCTGGCCCTCCTGACGTAGGCCCCGCCCCAAAGGGTTGGGGGCATGTCTATCTCATCTTCAGGGCCGACGCCCTGCATTTCTTGCTGCTGTGATTGCCGTCAGTTGGTGCTGCAAGTCGTGCCCCGTCCCCGACGCCACGGGCTTCAGGAAGCGCCACTTCGGTGTCGAGGCTGCAGCGCAAGCGGTGCAACCTGCCCAGGGCGGCTCGGCGAAGCTGGCCGAGGCATTGGAGCGCACTGAGCAGCTCGAGGCGGAGGCGGCGCAGCGGCCAGCGGCCCCTCCCGCGGGAGTGGCCGAGGCCCCATGGCGCGAGGGCGCGCGCGCGAAGCCCGAGCGCCAGCGCCTGGAGGAGGTCGGACAGCAGCTCGAGGCGCTCCAGGCGCGGGCGGACGTCGTGGACGATGCCGAAGGCGACTACCCTGGCAGGCAGAGGGCGGGGCTCGAGGCGGAGCAGGCCCAGCTGCGCAGCGCCCTCTTCGCCGCCGAGGCCAAGGAGGTGTAGCTCCAGAGCATCAGCGGCCAGGTCAAGAGGCAGGAGAAGCAGCTGGAGAAGGGGCGCAGGGACCCGGCCGCGGCGGAAGCCCAGATGCAGGAGCTGGAGGCCCGTGCGCAGGAGATGCGCGCCGGCAACCTGGCGAAGGAGGCGCGCATTGTTGAGCTCAAGGCCAAGCACGCCCAGACGCCGGATGCAGCTGTGCGGCCTCCTGCTGATGCTGGGGCTGGCCTGGATGGCGTGCTCGAAGTGGGTGGAGTGCGCATCTCGGCGGACATCCTGGGGAAGATCTTGGGTGGCTTCAAAGTGGAGCAGGAGCTCGCGGCGGCAATCTGCAAGCAGGCCTGCGCCCGCGAGCAGGGGCTGGAGACCGCGCGAGCGGCCGCTGCAGCGAAGGCGCAGCGCGAGGCGCGCGCGCGTGCTGCCCACTGACGCCGAGGCAGAGGCTGCCGCTGGGCAGCGGGCAGGTGAAGACGCCATGGACGACGAAGAGCTGGGGGTCGACGAGCAGCTGGAGAAGCTCAAGGCCTTCAACCGCGCGCCCATGCCTGCAGAAGGTGATGAGCGGCCTTCTGATGATGCTGCACGTGCTGCCTTCAAGCGCATGTTCGAGGAGCTGGGAGCTGCGTCGCCCAAGCGCGCCCGCACAGCCTGAGGGCATCGTCGACGACATGACGGGCGCCCGCGACATGGACTGGGAGGTGCACTACAGTGCGCTGTGCGGCGCCGAGGAGCTAGTGGCTTTCGACATGGGCCGATACTCCGATTTCTGGGACGCCGCTGGCCAGGGCCAGGGTGGCCCGCTTAGGAGGCTCTGGCTGAACCTGCTGCCGGGGGCAGGTTGTCCCGGCCAGGAGAGGCTGGCGCGTGCAAGGTGGGCCGCGTCCAGGAGGGCGCTGCCGCTGGCGAGGAGGCGGCGATGCCGTTGCAGCTGGAGGGGCCGGCCGTCGGCGACGGCGCTCACGGGGTCCGTGAAGCTTCTGGGCTGGGTGCGGAGGGATTCAGCCCCTCGAAGTCACAGCACCCAGCCCACATGTGCGACGAGTTTGGCCACTCGCTCGACTGGGGCTTCTGCGTGGACGGGGTGTTCGCGCAGGGTGCCGGCGAGGCCCCTCTCCAGGGGGGGGCCGATGCCCTCGCCGCCCTGCCTGCCGAGGAGCAGGCTGCCCGGGACCTGGACTTCTGGGGCTCTGGCCGCGTGGGCCAGGGGGGGCCCGCTGCAGGAGGCGGTGGCTGCGCCTGCCGAGGGAGGCAGGTGGTCCCCTCGGCCGGCGAGGAGCCAGCGCTGCAGCTCCAGGTGGGCGGGGCCTCCGCCGCCCTCCCGCCGCCGCCGGGGAGGTCGCCGACGGCCAGGGCGGCGGCCTCGGGAGACCCCGACCGCCTGCCGCGTTGGTCGGCCGTTCGCCCGACCAACGTCCTCTGGGCCTCGCCCGCGCGTGCGCGCCGCCTCTGGGCTCTCGGCGGCCTCGGCGGCGGTCTCCGCCGCCCTTCCGCGGCCTTCCGTCGCGGCGTCCGCCGCCCGCTGCAGGACAGCAGGCCCAAGTGCCTGCCGAGGTTCGTGTGCCCCGCTCGCCTCGGCAGCCCCCCAACCCCCGCCCTCCCGTGGCGGTGCTTGCCCCTCAATGGCGCCTCGAAGCCCGGCCGAGGGCTGCCGCCTCACCTCGGTCAACGCGACCTCCTGGGGCCCGCTACCTCGGCCAGCTGGACGGCGAGGCCACGCTGGCGCTGGCGGTTCAGGAGCACCACCGGCTGGAGGGCGCCATCGCGACGCAGCAGCGGGCGACGAGGGACGCTGGCTGGCGCGGCCTATGGAGCGCAGCCACACCCTCCACGACGACGACGACAGGCACGCAGGGAGGAGTGGCCGTCCTCGTGCCCCTGCATGTGCAGATCACTGCGCCGCCTGCGCGTGACTCTGCGAGGTTGGTGCAAGGGCTCCTGGAGGCAGCGCACGTTCGGGCGGGGCCCCCTGGTGGGGTCGTGGACATCAGTGCGTACCTGCACGATGCGGTCGGCCTGGCGACGGACAACCTGGCCATCATATGGCAGCTGGCCCAGTACATTGGCGACCTGGAAGCGCACGGGCACCACTGGGTCGCGATGGGTGACTGGAACATGGAGCCCGAGACCTTGGACTTCGGCTGGCTTCAGAAGCTCAACGGTGCGGTGGTCTCGCCCCTTGAGCCCTCCTGTCGCCAGGGCGCTCGGTCGATCCTGGACTACTTCCTGGTGTCCAAGAGCACGTGGAGCTCGGTTGCCCCGCAGGCCGAGTTGGGCCTCAGCGCCAGCACTTGGCCGCACTGGCCCGTGAGTGCCGGTGGAGCCCCGCCCTGTCCACAAGGGGCCCGCCAGGCCTGGGTGCGCGCGCTATTCTTGGAGGTGGAGCGAGGTGCTGGCCAACGTCCGCGCGGTGAAGGACAGCGTGGGGCTGCAGGTGATTTTGCTCGAAAGCATCGAGACGGAGGTCCTCAACCGTCGGGGCCTCGTGGGCGCGACCGGGTCGGTTTCGCGGGGCGCGGCACCTCGGCCGACCTGGAATCGAGGTGGAAGCGCACTGGGTGGACGCCGCCGCGCAGGAGGCATATCTGCGGGCCCACCGCCGCTGCGCAGGCGGCTGCTGCTGCTGCTTGGGCCAGGCACGTGTCGGAGGTACACGCCCTGTTGGCGAAGGAGATCGAGGAGCCCTGCGCAGCGGCGGCGCCTGGCCTGCTGCACAAGCGGCGGCGGCGGCGGCCCCGCCGCATTCGCAACTTCGTGGTGGACCTGCGCAGCTTCCTGGCAAAAGTGGCGAAGAGCGGCCATTGGGTGCACTTGCCGTCGAGGGTGCGGCAGCCTTTTCAGCGTGGCGACGAGGTGTTCACCGCCCCTGGCTGGGACCAGGAGTTGCAGAGAATCATCGACGAGGGCGCCCGCAGGGAGAAGGCCCACGTGGCGGCCGCCCGGGCACGCTGGCGGGAGTGGGCGCGTGACGCCTTCGATTGGGGTGCAGGTCCCGCGCGCGCCGTCTCCAGCATGCCCGTGGCCCCAGAAGTGTTCCCCGCGTGTGCTGATGCTGGAGCCACGGCGCTGGTGGACCGTTGCGCCGTGGGAGACCATCTGGAAACTCCAAGGCCTCACCTGCATGGAGCGCCCCCCTGCAGCGCACACCTGGGGCCCCCTGCCCGACTGGAAGGTGCACGCGCTGCGGGGCGTCATCCGCTCTTTCCTGGCGTGGGGCAATCGGGCGGGGTTCCATAAGTGCGAGGAGATGATGGCGTGGCCAGACAGCAGGTTGCTCATCACCAAGGTCCGCCTGGCCAAGCCCGGGGGAGGCGCGCGCCTCATCGGGCTGATGCCCACGATGGTACGGGTCTGGAGCCGAGCCCGTCGTTCCATCACCAAGGCGTGGGAGCTGGACAATCCCCTTCCGCGCTGGTCTGGGGCACAGGCCCAGGGCGGGCTAGCTCGGACTCGGCCTGCGAGCTCAGCCTGTCCAAGGAGCAGGCGGCGCTGCGGGTCTGGGACTCATCCCAGGCGGCGCTCGACCTCTGGAAGGCGTGCGAGATGGTCGACCCTGCGGCGCAGCTGCGGGAGGCGGGGGCTTTGGGCTTCCCTCTGCGCCTCACCTGGATGCTGCTGTCGTCGCGCAGGCAGGCGCGCAGCCTCGCGGCCTTCAACTCCCTCTCGCGGTTCGTCTTCGCCTGGCAGGGGGACATCGCAGGGTGCGGGCACGCTAATTCGCTGCTGATAATCCTCACCATGCGGGCGCTCCCGCGGGCCCATGCCAATGCGCCCGCGGTCACGCCGAGAGGCCTCGTCGACGACGTCGCGCTCGACTGGAACGGACCCAAGGCGGAGAAGGGGGGCGACTTGGTGATGGCCCTCGCCAACCTCTCGGATAGCATGAAGGAGCTGCGCCTGGTCCTCCAGTCCAAGAAGTCGGGCTATCTGGCGTCCTCAAAGCAGCGCGCCAGCGCCTCGGACCGAGCATGGCCAAGCCGGGGCTGCAGGACAAAAATTGGGTTCGCAACCTCGGGCACGAGCTCCACGGGCGGAAGGTGCAACGCACGCAGGAGAAACGGCGCCTGGCTGCAGCGCTGGCGAAGAGGCAACGCCTGGCGATTCTGCGACGCGCCGCGGGACTGCGGGCGGAGGCTCTGGCCGCCACGGGGCTCTCCCGTCGGCTGCCCACGGCGCGGGGGTAGCCGGCTTGGCGGACAAGCCCCTGGCCCAGCTCCGCGCGCTGGCGGCGGTCACGGCGGGGGCCAAGCCGGGCTGGGGCACGGCAGCCGTCATGCTGCTGCAGGAGCGCGTCGACTTCGACCTCATCTTTGCGGCCGCCGTCCCCCTTGTGCTTCGCCTCCCGACGTGGGTCTGGGAAAGCAAGGGGACCCTGGCCCAGCTGCTGGCGAGCTGGGTGCAGCTCGAGCAGTGCGCAGGGCGAGGCGGGCTGACGCGGGCCACTGCCAAGGGCCCCCTCGGCGCCACCTGGCTCTCTCTGCAGCGTGTCGGGTGGGGCATGGCGCCCGCCTGGGTCCTGCGCTGTGACCGAGGCGAGCTGCTTTCGCTGCTCCGCGTTCCGCCGCGAGACATCAAAGGCTCCCTGACGAAGGGCATCCAGCGCCGGCAGTGCAGGCGCCTGGTCGCCCACCTGCCTGAGAGCCAAGGCGAGCAGCGATGCCCAAGGGCGGCGAGGGCCATCGCCACCAAGAAGCGCTCCGCCACCGAGAAAGGGGCGCTGCAAGCTCTCTGGGCGGGGGGCCACTACACCAGCGTCTGGAGGTGCGCCCACCACTTCATGGACACTGAGGACTGCCAGGCGTGCGGCGCCCCTCGCGACACGCCGCGGCATCGCTGGCGCGCGTGCCCCGAGGTCAGGAGGTCGCGAGAAGCGGAGCTCGAGCAGGAGGAGCTCTTCCGCAAGCCCCTCGAGGCCGTGAGGAAGCAGCTGGAGGAGGCGGAGCGGCTGTAAACGATCGGCGACAGCGAGCTGCCCCTGTCGCATGGCTTGCAGCTGGCACCACAGCTCCCGCCCGAGGCGCCCAGCTGCCCTGAGGTCCTCGGCTTGGGCGACGTCAGACGTCAGTGCGTCGCGGCCGCGGGTCGGCTACTCCGACGGCTCAGGCCTCGGGCCCCAGGTGCTTGAGGCGCGGCGCTGCGGCTGGGCGATGGTGGCTCTGAGGCCAGACTGGCTCCCGCTGAAGGCGCTGCGCGGCGCCCTGCCTGGAAGCCGCCAAACAACGGGGCGCGCAGAGAGGCATGCGTAACTCAACCCGCTGCGCCAGGAAGGAGAGCTCAGGGCCATCGTGAGTGACCTCCAGTAGCGTGTCGCTCGGGGAGCGCGACCCCTACGCGGCGGGGCCGCTGGGCCAGCGCGGCCGCCCCCCGCCTGACCTTGCAGGGATGGGCGCCTGGCTCCTGGGGCGGTGGCGCTGGCTGGAGGAGCGCTTGGCCCCCCTCGCGGCCCTCGGCCGCCGCGGCGCTGGTGGGGCCGCGCCGCTGCCGAAGCTCGGGCAGGCGTGAGAGGCGCCAGGCCAGTGCGCGAGCGCGCGGCGCGGCCCGTCGCGCCATTCACGTGCCGGGCGGTGCGCAGAGGCGAGCCGATTAGGGCACCCAAACGGCCATCTCGCCGAATGAGACGCTGTACCCTGGCGACAGAGGTGGCCAGAATGCGGCCCCCGAGCAGGTTTTATGACTCATGACGTGGCGTGTAGGCTACAGGCAACATCAATGCACTATGCGCTTGGGACTCTAAGCTTCTTTCGAGAACGGCTCGAGCTCCCAAAAAGGTAGGCGCGAGAAAACCCACTGGCCCAGGAGGCAGAGAAGGAGAGGAGCAGGGACGGGCAACTGCATGGCCGTCGAACAGAGGGCCATCGAGCATGCGAAGCATCGAGTCGCCCTTGGCTGCGCCACCGGATTTGCGCGCTTTCGCGGGGATGCGAGAAAAACGCGCGCTCGCGCAACGCGCGTTGCGCCACATGCTGGGCACGAGCGAGATGGAACACGCGGGGAGAAAGGGGGCAATCCGAGAGATGTGGAGGACTCGAGGCATTTGCCCAAGCGGCAGTTCAAACCAATCCATGCGCTTCGTCGCAGCAGCACCTGAAAGCAACCCGTAGAGGCTGACATAAAAAATCCGCCGATCCGGCGTGTGAGTTACAAGGAGTCTCAGCTACAGTCTCGAGGCTGAGCCTCAGCCTCCGGGGGGGTTGCCGGAGTGGCTCTGCCGGGGAAGGGGGGGTGGGGGGGGTGGGGTGCGAGTTTCCGGCGGATGCGTTTTTTGACACCCCTCGCAAGGATCGTGGCCTCCGAGGGGGTCCCGAACTCGAGTGCCACCCCTCCCGCACCAAGAGGCTCCGAAGAAGCCTCCAAGAGGCCCCAAGGGGCCCAGAAAAGGCCCCCAAGAAGCCCCAAGAGACTCCCAAGAGACCCCCAAGAGGCCCCCAAATGGCCCCCAAGAGGCCCAAGAGGCCCCCAAGAAGCCCCAAGAAGCCTCCAAGAGGCCCCCAGAGGTCCCGGCCAACCACGATATCCCAACCAGCGTCCATGAGGCCTCTGACCCACCACCCACGCACGGTGGTGGGATAGGCCGAAGGCCACTGGATAAATGCGGAATGAAAGGGGGAAGGAAGGGAAAAGAGAGGAGGGACGAGGGCGAAGGAGGATCACATCAGTCGGAGCGCCCCGAATCGGCGGCACTGGCCGAAGGCCACTACAATACAATCGTTTTCCTAAGCGGCGACTCTGGGGAACCAATCTCGGCCGACCCGGTTGGCTGGGGGACCACAGGCTTTGTCGGCCAAATGGGGTCTCCTGGAGTTGTCCAAGGCGTCGGCGTCGGACCAGGGACAGACAAACACCCTTGAAGAACATGAGACCCTCCGCGGGCCAAACTGAAGAAAACTCGATGGCACCCTCCTCCAGGCTGCAAAAGGAACCCAACAAACACGAAGATAATTAGGGTACCCTCCCCGCGCCGATCTCGATCTTAGACCTCGGTCCGACCGTATTCTGGGTCCTGGAATGTCTGAAGCCGTGGAAAGCACCCGCAACCAAGTCTTGTAAAGCGGACTCGCTGTGCGAGATCCCTGGTCCATGAGACGGTCAACACCATGGCCCTGTTCAACGAAATGGCACTCTCAGTGCTCACCTTCGCGGCCCAATTCCGCGTGGCTCCGAAACGCGCGCGGGCTGCGGACAATGAAGCCGCTATGTATTTGGCTCGTGGACCTCAGAATTCTCTGACCGCCCATCGCCCTGTACACAAAAGGAAGCGTGAACCTTCGCAGCCGTAGAAGCGGACCTCGACCCACGCCAACTCGGACAGGACCTCAAGGGCATCAGTGATGAACGTGGGCAACTGCATCTCCACAAGGATCCCGGATATCGCGCCATGGAGGAGACTGGGGAAAGCCGTCTGGCGGCCGTGGGGGAGAACCCCTGCCGCGCAGCTTCGCGCGAACAGCCACTCTCGCGCGCGTGGGTAGCCTGGCGCGCGCGTTGGGACGCACGGTCGCCGAATGCCTTGTTCACGCAAGATCGCGCGCGCGCGACGCGTTACCTCGAAAAGCTGACCAACCGCAGGCGCATCGCCGAAGCTGCGCGGCAGGGCTTCGCCAGGGGCTCAGCCGCACGCGGGCTGAAAAACGCTTGTCCCTGGGGCCGAACGCAAACAGCGGGGGGGCGCAGTCAATGCGGCAGCGGGGCTGACAGCGTCGCGCTCGCCGACGCATTCAAAGCCTGATGGCGTCGCGCGCGGCGCGAGCCGCCGCGTCAGTGTAAAGACGCACGTTCGCTAGCGCGCGCAAGAAACCCTTGCCGATAGCTGCTCAACCTAATGGGGCGCTTCGGCTGGGCGCGGGGGGCTGCCTCGATGTCGACGCGCCCGGCGCCACTCTGCAGCGAACTCTCTGCCCAGCTCTTCCAGACAATCTTGTCACGCAGCAGCCCGAGCCCCGCCTTGCGACCCCCGAGGGGCGCCTCCAAGGCTACCCAGCAACGCGCGGATCGACGCCCGAAGCTTGCAGCGCAATAGCGCGCCGCGGACCTGCAGCGCAAATCGCGCATGCTCCGCGCGCTGCGCATGCGACAATTGTTCGTTGGCTGCGGCAGCGATCGCCCGCGAATCGTACATGATATTCAGACCAATTAGTCGCGCGACTGCCCGTTCTTCTGCATTTCGCTGCATCGCCGTCGTTGTCGACGTCGCTCCCGCGGAAGCCAGCGGCCAAGCTCGGTGGGGGACCGAGCAGATCCGCGAACGTGAAAGGATTTTGACATTCCCGCTTCTTGGCCCTCGCGGCTTCGGCAGAGATCCAATCGTATTTCGCGCTCCTGCAGACGGCGTAACGAACGAAGAATTCCCGCCGCCAGCGAACGCAATGGGCGTGGAGTCTCGGCCGCGCCTCCAGGCCGAGGTCTGCAAGCGAAATAATCGACGAGAGGTCGGCGCCCGCGGCCGCGTAGTCGACCGGAACGGAAACTTCGACATTAGCCTCCACGCCGCGCGTGGGCGGGCAGCGGAGCTCGCCGCGCGCGCGCGCTCGCTCTGGCGCCTGCTTCCCCGCGGCGGCTGCGCGCTCTAGCGCGCCGCAGCACTCGTTTCACGGCTGTGGGCAGACCCTCCGAGCTGGTCAGCTCCTCGAGGCAGACGTCGGCCATCTGCGCGACCGCCTCGAGGCCATTCTTTGCGAGACACTCCGCTGCGGATTTATGCGCGAGATCCCCCCGCTCAGAGCCAAACGCGAGATCCCGGCGCAAAGGGCAGATCATCTTTGCGCCCGCGACGGAATGCGCAGCAAAGCATGATGAGCCCCTTCCGCGGGCAAACAAGGCCCTGGCTGATCAACCAATCGCGCCCGCGCAAACGACAGCTGCGTAGCTCCGAAATCGCGCCCACGCACGAGCACCTGCGACACCGGGAACTCGGCGATCACACGGGGCCCCGTCAAAGACTGCAACCTCAGGGTGCAAACGCAACCCTTGAGGAGATGACCGCCCGACTGGTCCCCAGACTCAGTGAACAGCAAGAGCCGCAACGGGGCCTCTATTGGGCCATGAGACCGAAGCACAAGGTCATGTTCAGCCGAGCCCGCCCCGCGACGTCGCCAGAAAGGCGTCGGGGAGAAAGTGAACTACGTCATGAGCTGCAAACGCCCGACCATCTCGTCGCTTTGGATGACTCACGGGGCATAGGAGCAAGGCGCGAGGGGCCCTGAGACCGTCCAAAAGGCCGCAGTAGGCCAGCAGAAACATAATGGGCCCCATGCGTGGATACACCCAGCACGCCAACCAGACGGTGGGCGACCGCTCAAGACCCTTAGAGCGTAAGCACGTGGGAAGCCACAGTGGAGACCACGACTGAGAGGCAGGGATTCCTCCATATCCCCCGCCTGGGAACTGACGTCCCGGGGGCCCAGCGGGCGGTGAATGTGGATATAGTTTGGCCCCCGGGGGCCAGAGCATATCCATGCCCACCGACTGTGGGGGTCCGCGAAAGTTGATCCTCCAGGCGGTGGTTGTGCATGCATCCCCACCTCGAAGCGGTTGGCCCGGGACGAGCGGTCGCGCCCGCGGCGCCACGCACTAATGGCCAGCGGGTCGCGCCGCGCGGAGGAGCACCAGGGGCGGGCCGCCGCTGCGCTTCTGGCCTGCGGGGGGTCAGAGTGAGGGGGCCGAGCGGTCATTTTCTGTCCCTGGTGCTTGTCTGAAGTGGAGTTCCGCGGTGGAGATCGGCGTTGCGTACTTACTTGTTCTTGTTTGGTGCTGCCGTCGTCGTCCTACCCGCGACCCAGCCCGCGACCCGCCCGCGAGCGCTTGACATCCCATCCCGCGGCCAGGCGGCAGATGGGAAGACATGTCGACAGTGCTCGGGGACTTGCCATCGTTCGGACGCCCATTCCTCGTGCACGCTTCGGCTTCGTGTGTATTCGTCCGAAAGATGGCCCAACGTGCTCCTCGATGGTCCTCGCCGAGGAAAAATGCACACGCCCGGGCGATGCCGAGGGGAAGAGGGAACGACAACGACGCACGCCCGCGCGGCATTGCCAGCAATCCCGCGCGGGAGCCTCGCCCGCCCGACGGAGCGGCGGCGCGAGGCGCGTGGGCAGAGGCGGACAACTACCGCCACGCAGTGCGTCGGCGGCAGAACACTCCCGCCAATGTCGCCGACATCTGAGCGATGAAAATAAACGGGTCTTGCGCTTCATGACATGGCGACCTTGCGCCGCGGCTCACGGCCGCCGGCGCGGCACGCTACATTAGAGACGAAGGCGCTCACGCGCGGCCTTACGCGGGCAGCTTGCGCGCCAACGTCGGCGAAGACGACCCTGTTTCTTTGCGTCGCTCATCTGATTCGCAATGACCGGATATTACTTTCCCACAAAGGAAGCACACGCATCGCAGAAGCGAGCCTCGGCGAGGAGACCTCGAGGGCGTCATTGACGAATGTGGGCTGCATCTCCGCAATGACCCAGGACATTGCGCCATGGAGGAGGACGGGGGAAGCCGTCTGGACGCCGCGAAGGAAAACCTCAGTGCGCTTATAGCAACAGAAGCAGATGTCGTGGATGGCCTTGGCCTCGACGTCATGACATGGCGATGATCAGTTGGCGATTCTCGACGTAGCCGAGCTGCTTTCTGACGCAAATCTGCATGCACGCCGCGGCCAGCCCTTTGCTGGAAGCAACCGTTGTAGCTCCCTGCGCGGTGCTCGGGAGACTGAAGGGCCGGGCCCTACTGGGGGTGCGCATTACTCGGGAAAGGGCGCATGTAGACAATGGCGACTCAAAATCGGGCCCTTGGCTGGTAAGCCCACGAGTTGGTTGCTGACGTCGCACTGCGGCTCGGTATTCGGGTTAGGTAGGATTCATGTGCGTCTTCATTTGAAGCAGGCTCTACGTTGACACCCTGGGCGACATGACTGCTGGGTGGGGGCGGGTGGCACGGCCCCCGCCTCCCCTCGGACTGTCGCAGACTGCTCCGCCGCGGCGACCGCGGCGGCTGCGCTGGCGCCCCTTCCAAGGCAGCATATGTTCGCATGGGCCCTATTTCGGAGCAGGGCGAGCTGAGACAACCGCAGCGCACATTCAATCCCCAGACCCCACCCAGGGTCCAACCGCACCAGTTTTCCGAGCTGGGCCCAGCCTTGGTGACGAGGGTCCACCCCCGAAGTCCAACTAGCGCTGCCCCAACTGGGCCTCCTCTGGCTATTGGAGCGCGGGGCGCGGCACCTCTGCAACGCCAGCTGCGCGAGGAACTCCGACGACGCCGCCGGGCAGCGGCTGCAGCGGCCGGGGCACTCTCGGCGCATTCGCCCGACCAGCTGCGCTGCCATCACCGCCCGCCCTCTAACCCTCGCCGCCGCGCAGGCCCATCCCGAGAGATGTCGGGCAGCGCCCCCGACGGTGGAATTCCGCGGCCGCGCCGCCCGCGCCGGGGCGCGCGCGGCCCCAGCATCCCGCGCCGACGCGGTGCGCCTCGGGCGACCGGCGCTTCGCCAAGACGAAACCCTGTCCACGAGCGACGGAAAGCGGCGCTGGGAGTCGCCTCGGCGTTGGCCCGTAGGTCGGCGGGGTCGGCCTGAGCCAAGCTGACGCTCGAGGGGGAGTAGGAGGAGGAGTAAGAGGAAGAGGAGGAGGAGGAGGCAAGGCAAGGCAAGGCAAGGCAGGCGCTAGGGGGCCAAAGCTCCTCTCAACTAGATCGCTTGCGAGACCCCCGCGGGAACTTATGGATTGGCCCCCTCGCTGTCTGCGCGGCCTGCCACGCGACGGCGAGGCACCGAGGACGAGATCTGGCCAGCAGACGCCCCCCACCCTCACTCCACCCCCCCCCCTCCACGACTCGTCGGGAGCGTCGCCGTGGCGACGCGGCGGCGGGGCCAGCGCCCTGCCGTGCTATTCGATCAGACTGGGAGCTCAGCCACGGCCCATTGGCGGCGGGGAGCCCTGAGAGCAACAGACACCTGGTGGCAAAGACATCTCAAGACAGACAGAGAACGAGAGGAGCAACAAAAAGCGGGGCGTCGTGGGATACCCACGCCCTCAGCATCATATGGAAGATGAAGTCGGAATAACCTATCCTGCTGACCCTTCCCACCTTGTTCGCGGGGCGGCCGCAGCACGGAAGCAGATGGGCGCTCGTCTTGCCAGTGCTCCTATTGCTGGTTAGTGGGATTTCTGTCCTAGCAATCCAGAGCAGCTTGCAAGCCATAGGAAAACAAACTGGCGCTCACTCTCCGTCACACGTGCCCGCCGATCCGTCCATTCGCAATTCCTGTGCGTAATTGATCTGGTCGGGGAACGGGGGGATCTGGACTTCTTGTTCATACATCAGCTGCCGAAGAGCGTACTGCAACCCCATCAGAGCTGTGTCCATAATGGTGCTTTGGGTTTGCAGCTGGCGAATGACTTCTTGGCGCTCTAGCATCTCCTCAATATCCATTTCCCATGGCATACTTACCCGAGCCAACTGCATATCGATCAAGCCCTTGTGCCTCATCAGCGCATTAACGATGGCACGCAGCGGTGGGATCTGTGTCTGGAATATTCGTAGTGTCGATCGCAAACGCTCGTTTCCCATCATAAGGCGACCCATTGAGCTGGCAAGCCGACCATCGCAGTGCGCCGAGTACGCAGGTAGGATCTCTCTTGAGTGCGGGGGCTCCGCCATTGCACAGTATGAAAAAAGGGGCAAACAATGGGAGAGTGCGACTGAGCCTACAGCTGCGGCCACCTAGTCGTGCCACCATAGTACCACACATGTTGTTAGAATCCGTTGTTTTTTTGTTGGTTTCTGCTGGAGCCGGTCGTAGTCGGAGGATTGAACATCAAATTTTGGTCCCCAACGTCTTAGCGAAGAAACTGGGCATCAAATTTTGGTTCCCCTGCTTTGGGTGAGGTCTTCGGAGCTTCTATCAGGGCCCCCAGACATCTGTGATCTCCTACGCTCTCGGTACCGCTGAGCCAATTCGTAGATTTCCCGAAATCTGTCGCTGACATCAATCTTCGATCTCAAGCTGTCGAGTCTCCGGGGGTCCTTACTTATGTCATTGACAATCTTTTCAAGGTCGGAGCAAGGGGGCCAGGGAACAGGAGGAAGGCCCGAGGTCCGACTGCAAGAGAGCGTCTCTTCCTCTCTCCCTTCAGAACAATCTGCAACAGAAGAGGCGGTACCGAGCCCTACCGTCGTGGTAAACCGTCGTCTCTTCCTCGACGGCGAGGTGTAGCTCGGGCGGTTGGTGCCCAAGTCCTCGTTGGCTGTGCCGGGTGGCTCTTGTCTCACCTGCGCCGCAAAGTGCTTTCCACTGACCTCTCCAGCGTCGTCTTGGGGCCAGGTCCCGTCGCTTTCTTGCCGCTGATGGACTGCAACCCGATCGTGATGGCCGTCTTCAGCTTGAGCACCTCGTACACCTTCACTGCTTCCATGGCCTGCTCCCCGACCTCGTGCTTCGCCAATATCGCCTGCAGGCACGGCGACGGGTTCAAGATGAAGGAAATCTTCCCCAGGCGGTCGCCTGCATCCAAGTCCTCGCGCTTGTACGTCTCCTGGACCTTGAACGTGAGAATCATCTCCTCCACGAGAATGTTGCCCTTCGAGTGATTGGTAGCCTCCACGAACTCCTTGATGACCTGCTTGCTGGTGATCTCCAGAGCGCCCCCTTGTTCTCCGTCTATCTCGTCGTGGAGGGCCCTGAGCGTCGCCATCGCCACGTGCACGCGCGGTGATCCGAGCCCGTGTTTTTTTCCTGCTGCTCGTACCGCTTTTCCGTACTCTCTGCCCGAGTCCAGCCCCGCTGTGAATGGCTTGGAAATTGCGGGCACGAGCCAGAAGTCCCCCGTCTGGTGCATGAGATCTCGAATATCTTGGCTGTTCTTCAGGACCAACTTGCGTATCGCCTGGTCCCTCTGGTCGTAGTCGTCGTCGAAGAAGTCCCTGCCTGGCCCGCGCGGTGGTTCCCCACCATCTCCGGCTGCCGTTGGTCGCGCCTTCCTGGCGGGCCCCCCTGACCCCGCTGACGGTGCTCCTCCTCGCTTGTTGACTCCGAGTTGCCAGGTCTCGCACGGCGGTGGGAGGATCATCAGCTCGCTCAAGTACGCTCTCTGGTCCAACGTGATGCTCACGTACGTGTAACTGAAATGAGTGCAAGTCTTGAGCCACATGATCACAGATGCTACATGTTAAAACCTCTGGTACTATTACTGCATGTGCCCATTTTGAATAGCCAATGTGGCAAACTCCGTGCCGATCGCAGGCCCGCTGAACGTGGTCAATCGCTGTCTTCCTCTTGTTGAATACGCTCATGCACCATGGGCACTGGTTAGTGATCACGATCTGGGACAGGATGGTGTATTCGTTGTGAGCTCCTCGTTTGTGGGCTTTCAGGGCCTGAGGCGAGGAGGAGGAGGAGGAGGAGGAGGAGGAGGAGGAGTTCTATAATCCTCAATATCCTCTTCCTCCACCTCCCCATCCTCCTTGTATCTGAGGAGGAGAAAGATGGGGGGGAAGAAGAAGAAGAGGAAGAGGAGCGGAAGATTCCCCCCTTTGCTGGGCTGCCACCGAACTTTCCGCCGGCCCGCTCCGTGCACGCGGCCCAGAACATGTGCCTCCGACCGGCTGGCTCCTGCCAGGGGCTGCCCCATACCCCCTCCACCTCCACATTCAGCTCCCCAAGAAGAACATACACATGTCCGTGGGCCGAACGGTCATTCACTGTCCCTGGGGGCGTGGTAGAAAGGGCGCTCCGACCAGCGGATTTTGTTTGATGCGTTGTCGCCGCCATCGCCCGCGACCCGCCCGCAACCGACCCGCAACCCACCCCGCGACCCACCCCGCGACCCACCCGCGATCCACCCCGCGACCCACCCGCGACCCACCCGCGACCACCCCGCGATCCACCCTGCGCCCGCCCCTCACTCTTGTCCGCACCTGCGGGGTGCAACGTGTGTGTATATGTGTATATATGCATATATACATGCACATACATACATGCATACATACAGATATACATACATACATACATACATACATACATACATACATACATACATACATACATACATACATACACACACATACATACATGCACACACACATACATACATACATACGTGCATACATGCATACATACATACATACAAACATACATACATACATACATACATACTTGCATACATAGATACATACATACATACATGCATGCATGTATGCATACATACATACATACATACATACATACATACAACCAAACATACATACATGCATGCATGCATACGTACATACACATATACACATACATACACACAAACATTCATTCATCCATGCATACACACACATACATACATACACATACATACATACACACATCCATCCATCCATCCATCCATCCATCCATCAATCAATACATACATACATACATACATACATACATCCACCCATCCATCCATCCATCCATACATACATACATACCTTTGTGTACATGTATGTATGTATGTATGTACGTATGCATGTATGTATGTATGTATGTAAGTATGTATGTATGTATGTATGTATGTAGGTATGTATATATGTGTCTCTTCCTACATTATGTTATAAGCCATGGGGGGCGGGACCCCCCCCCAAAAAACTTGAACCCCGGGATCTGGAGCTGTGGGGCCCCATGGACGCCCTTGAAAGAACCGTCCCCAGCACTGCCGCGCCTCCCAGGGCGCCTTGCTGGGCCTTGCCAGCAACTCAAAGCGACAGAAAAGTGGTCGGAGAGGCGCAGGGACACCCCACGGCAGCGCAAAACGGCATCCAGACGGCCCACGAGACCCCCAAAACGGCCCACGAGACGCCCCAATAAACCTGCAGGAGAGCCCCTAGGAGGCCCTAGGAGGCACACATCGCAAGTTTCCCGAACGAAAGCATACATTTTGAGCCCCTAAACTGCCGCAAGACGGCCCATAAGAAACTCACGAAGGCTCCAAAGGCTCCCAAGCGAGACCCACGAGGGCCACGGGAGGTCCCCACGAGGGCGCCAATTTTCCAGGAGAGCCCCGCGGCAGCGCAAGACAGCCTCCAAACGGCCCAGAAGGCCCCCAAGACTGCCCAAGAGGCCCCAAAAACGCCCCAACAAACCTTCAGTTGAGCCTCCAACAGGTACACATCGCCCGTTTCCCGAACGAAAGCGTACATCTTTATTACATTCGCTTGTAATGTCGTACCAACGCCCACGAACGACGGTCCGAGAAGCCTGCGAGATCGCCCCACGGCGGCCAAGAGGCCCCCAAGAGGGTTTCAAGCCGGGCCAACGGGACCCCTGCCCCAAGACGGCCCAAAAGAAACCCACAAGGCTCCCAAAACGCTCCCAAGAGAGACCCATGAGGGCCATGGGAGGTCCCCAAGAAGGCCCACATTCACCAAAAAGGCCCCAGGACGGCCCCTCAAAGACCGAGACGGCCCATGCGGGTTCCGAAAACACCCCCAAAACGGCCCAAGGAGGCGCCCTGGAGGCCTCCAGAGGTACCCTTGACAAACATTCGTGAGGCCCCCAAAAGGTTTTCCAACGAGGAGCCTCCGCAAATAGACCTCCGGCAGACGGGAATGGTTCGCAATGCCAGGCGGGAGCGTGGATGAACGAGAAGTACGATGAGGAACGATGAGGCATTGATTTCAGTTGCCTTGTATTGCGCGACCGGGTGACTTGGGCCACAAGCGAGCCCGCGTGGTGGCCGCGAGGAGGACCCCGAAAGTCATACCTTTGTACGATCGTACGTCTCCCAGAAGGCGTCTCCTACGATATTCACAGAAAAGATGAGCATCCCGGGTTCGCAACAATAACTATTCCCTTGGAGCCCGTGGCGAACCCTGGATTCGGTGCATTCCCAAAGCCATTGCATATTACTTCATATTGCGCTGATTGGTGCTATGCGGCATTGCTTGACAGTGCGTCGTTCTGTTTGACATTCATTCGCATGGCTTGCCATTGCTTCGACTTGCGCACCCGGGCGGCCAAGGCTTGGGCCACGAGAGGACCAGCGCGTGCGCCACACGAGGGCAGTTCGACGTCATTCATGGGAACCTGGGAACCTGTTATTCAACCGTGCACTTACCCAGGCATCCGTGATGAGCCGTTGGCTCACATGTTTTAAGCTCCCGCCTGCGGCACATCCTTCAGGTCTGAATTCGCTTCCTCTGATTGTGGCGGAACCCTACCTGCATAGTCACTCCACAACGCAACTCTGGCAGTCCACATGGGCCTGCAAGTTGCGAGCCAGTCGGCGGGAGACACAATCGCGGTCAGCCCCCAAACAAGACAGCCTCCAACGCGCCCGTTGCAAAGAGCCTCGCGACCGAAGTCACTTCAGCAATCGCCAGCTGCACCGATCAACTCGGACTGGCAAGTCGCGTGCCAATCGAAGCCGCCCCAAGCAAGATCTCATCTCCCGCGCGCGCTGCGGCGGGGAGCTCCAAGACAAAACCCACTCAGGCGCCGGGCAATTCAAAACAAACAGCACTGCGCGGGTTTGCATTTCGTGCGCCGCACCCAGTGGAAGCTACCCCACGCTCGCAGGCTGCTCATCCCTGTTGCTGGGGCCCCGGAACTGCATCTGTACCCACTGCGACGTCGCCCGCTTCTCCACAGAATGCGCGGGGTTCCGTTGTCAGTTCGGCAAGCGCGCCATCGACTTCACAAGGTACTTCTCCGAGCCTGGGTCGACCCTTCTCCAAAACTGCCGGCGCGACGGTTTCAACGCCCACTCCCAAACGTACAATAACCTCGTCGGACACACTGCGCGCGACAGTCAGTCCAGCACTGCGGAGCGGCAGACGCAGTGTGGAGCGGGAAACGCACGCCGCCCCGCAGAATCCGTCCTTCATGAGAATCCACGGCACGATGTACCGGAAAACTTGGGCCGCCGAAGGAGCCAATTCTGTCCAGTGCGTTGCAGTTGACCCACAACTCTGCGCGCTGACTGCAAACCGTCCGCAATTAAATCCACAAGTTGTGCGTGCCCTGGAACGTCACGTCGTCCACGCCAACCCGTACATGACGGCGGTTCACAAGCTGACCATCCTCGCTACGTCGCGGTGCCCCAACAAAGTTCTGCAGCTCGATTGGGACGAAGGCATCCAAGAAATTGCTGCTATACTCGACTCCGCCGGTAGCGCTCGCACGTCTCCTCGATCAGTGTTCTTTCGTTCGTCTCCGCAAATCCGACCAGTACGATGACATCCCTCCCCTCAACGGGCTCTACGAGCCACTTTCCATGCGGCGACCCTGACGCATGCGTTCGGAATGAACACGGCCAATGGTCAGGACTCGGCCGACGTTGAACGGGAATGTGCGATCGTTCGCGGCTGAATGATCCAAGCGTTGTCAAAAATCGACGCGCAAGCCGTGACAACATCAGCTGGCGCAGGATCGGGCGAAGAAGGCACGCGATTTTCGTTCGAAGTTCTCTCAGAGCCTCCAGGTGGTGTTCTCGCGCCACGTGATCGGGTCCGCCTCGAAATTCGAATCAAAACACACCCCAAAAAGAGGTCTGGTAGCGCACGGATCTGTAAAGCGAGGGCAAGAGCGAATAGGAACGGGCGAGGGGACTGGACGGGAAACGGCCAAATATCAAAGGCCAAAGAAAGAGGCTGGTGCCGAGCGACAACAGATGCAAGGCTTGAGGGACCAAAGTGCATGGTGCGAAGCACCAGTGCAGTCTCGTGTGTCTGCTTGTATGTGTATACATATAATCTTATTCATATACTTTTATAAAGCCGGGGACCCCGGAAAAAGCGCGCCCCCCTAACGAATTTGGCCACCCTGGGCGTCTCGGGCAAGCTTCCAGACGACCCGAACCTCACGAGAGCCCGAAGACGGCCCAAGAGGGCTTAAGACGGTCCACGACGATCCCCAACAAGCCGTTATACCCCCAAAGATCGCTCCAAAACATCCCAAGAAGCCTCCAAGAACACTCCGAAAAAGGCCCCAATAAGCAAAACTCGTTGATTTTCTAGCGTTTTTTTGTGAATGGGGTTCTCCTCGTTTCGGCTTCCCGACGCGGTCTTCTGGGCGTCCGGAGCCGCGTGGGAGGCTCGAAAATCGCCCCACAACCATCCGAAAGGGCTTCCAGGTAGTCAGTCCCAGAGAGCCCCAGAACGGCACAACAGGGTTCCAAGATGGCCTAAGAGAGCCCCATGACGGCCCAAAATGGCCCAAGACACCCCCCGAAGCATACCAAATCGTGACTCGGTCGTTCAGGGAGACCGCGGTTGGAGGCAGGGTGGCCCGACGAAGCCCCCTGAGGCCCCCAGAAAACGCCCAGGAGGCCCCCAGAAAGCCAAGCCTGAAGAACTTTTGTGAGGCCCCCAGGGGCTCTCCAAGGAGGAGCCTCCGCAAAAAGAACTGAATGGGGAGAGTGCGCAAGGCATGGCGATAAGGAGGAAAAAAACAGCAGGGAGGAAGGATAACGAACAATATTAGTATAACGGCGATGCCGGACAAGGCAACAAGAAGTTATCGCTAAATTGTCGGCTTGGCCTTCCTGCCATTCCGCCTGCATACCAAGCTTGAATGACCAAAGTGCATGGCGCGAGGGCAGTCTTGTGTGTATGTATGTATGTATGTATGTATGTATGTATGTATGTATGTATGTATGTATGTATGTATGTATGTATGTATGTATGTATGTATGTATGTATGTATGTATGTATGTGTGTGTATGTATGTATGTATGTATGTATGTATGTATGTATGTATGTATGTATGTATGTATGTATGTGTGTGTATATATATATATATATATGTTACCCCCCCCCCAGGGGTCTACCTCGTTCTGCCTCTTCTTATGGATCGCTTTCGGCCCTCAAAGGCTTGGAAAAATAATCGCTCTCATTCCGACTACATTTCGCTTCTCCGTTATCCCTCTGTCTCTGTCTCGTCTCTCTTTCCCTCTCTCTCTCTCTTCCTCCTCCTCCTCCTCCTCCTCCTCCGCCTCCGCCTCCGCCTCCGCCTCCTCCTCCTCCTCCTCCTCCCAATCAGAATTCCCTTACGGGACATAATCCAGCAAAGCCTTGCCAGGCGTTCAAAACGATGCCCCCGCCCGAGAAGTCCCCAAAAACACACCCAAGAGGAAGCTCCCGCCTGAGAGGTCCCCAAAAAACACACACTCAAAACGATGCCCCCGCCTGAGATGTCCCCCAAAAAACAAAAGAAATCCAAAAGCCACCCCTCTCATCCTTGTAATTGTCTCACCCCCCCAAAAAAAACAAAGTTTCAAAGGAGAACTCCTCCTCCCCTCCGACGGGGGCGGGTAAGACGAGGAAGAATCGGGGGGGGGAAGGTTTGGGGACCTCTCAAGCGGGAACCTCGTTTTCAGTGCGTTTGGGGGGACCTCTGCGAGGCATCCTCCCCATCGCCCTTCTATCTTCATCCTCCAGCGATTGGGGCGGGGAGCGATCATATGTCATTCGTATTCCTCATCCTCCGCCTCTCCTTCCCGCTCCTCCACGTTATCTTCGTTGTCCACGTTGTGCAGTGGGTTTCAAACATTGGCCTCGGACAGTTCGCCCTGGCCTGCCTTCTTCTCGCAACACTTCTTCTGAGCATGAGCGAGGAAGGCGAGGAAGAGCGAAGAGGAGGAAGACAACGGCATGTGATGGAGGCGTCCACTTTTTGGATGCCCTTGAGAGCACCACAATTCCAGAAGAGAATTCTCAAACGAACGGGGCCCGCTTATCCTGCGTATTCCTCTCTCCCCTCCCTCATCCGTACCTGTTTCGGCTCAAGGTTTAAATGGCTCCTCAAGGATTAACTGGTTCCGCGCCCCGTGCTTCGCGCCGCCATGGGATGCCCAAAGAGAAGGGCCCCGGCTCACGAGAAGAAACTGCTCAACAACATGGCGCGCAGGGCCGCGAAGAAAGATCAGGACTTGAGCAACGAGCCAGCAGTGGCCAAACTGCTGAGGGAGGCGCGCGCAGCAGCTCGCAGGTCCCTCGAGAGCGCGCTGGACGTGCGTTCCCGCCGTTCGAACCACCACTACAGGGAGAAGTACGCCGCGAACCGCAAGGCCGCCGCGGCAGAGGCGGCTGCCAACCGCCTCGAGGAGCAACTCACGGAAAAAACGGCCGCTCTCAAGAACGCGCGGGCGGAGCTGCGCGAGACGCGGGGCTTCTGGGAGAAGGCGGAGAAGGAGCTGCAGAAGGCCAGGAAGAAGACCGAGAAGGCGGAGAAGAAGACTGGGGAGGCTGAGGAGGCGCTCGAGAAGGCCACCGCCCCCTGGAAGAGCTGGTGGCGGGTCCTCCAGGTGCACGTGAAGCACCGCTTACCCCCTTGGGCGGCCAAGAAAGTGAGGCTCTTGGCGCAGCGCGGCCCGCCCCGCGGCCGCGCGAACGACTGGGCAGCTCCGCGCGCGAAAGTGACGCGCGCCGCGCGCAGCCTTGCCGAGCAGCTCCGCTCTGGCCACTGGAGCCACGGCAAAACACAGCGAGCGAGAGCGAGAGAACGAGGGGGAGAGAGCAGGGCAGGCGCAGCGGGACAGAGCGCCAAACGACGGAGGAACCACAGCAAAACACAACGAGCGAGAGCGAGAAAACGAGGGGGAGAAAGCAGGGCAGGCGCAGTGGGACAGAGCGCAAAACGACGGAGGAGGAAACGAACCAACTGCGCTGTCGATGTCCTTCGCAACATGTCACGGGCGATTCTTTTGCACGCCTCCATTCGGCAGCCTTGCTTCTGACCCATCAACAGGCGTCGTGGCGATCGACCCGGACGCGGACTGAGTGAGGTCGCCGCCGCGGGGGGGCCAGGCGTAGCAGATGCGTCTAGCTGCGATTGGTAGCAGAATTCGCGCGGGAAGGCATGCTACTGTTTCTTTTGGGGGGAGGGGTATCCAGACCGTTGGCGGAAACGCATGCGTGTGTCGGAAACGTCTATTCATGCTGCGCACGTCGCAAGAATGAGCATCGCGCGCGCGGGCACCCATGCGCCCTTGCCTCTGCGGCCCACCGCTAGCCAACCATGGCCCAGAGAGCTCCGATGCGGGGTCCCACGGGGATTGCATCATTGCCACGATATCGACACCATCGCAGCGCATTCTTCTTTCTTCTTGTCGTTTAGACTCGGTGCTCAAGGTCGCTGCGCGCATTTTCGCCATCGCCGCAGCCATTTCTAGGTCGAGTCGGCGGCCAGAGCCGCAGGTGCTCGCGCCTCTCGCGCACTGCCTCGCCCGCGCTATCGCGCCAGGGGCCAGGGATGGCCGCCCGCCGTCGCCCCGCCGCTGCTGTCGGAGGACGTTCGGGCGTCGCCCCGAAAAAGGGCAAGCTTCTGATGGTGATCAGGCGCCCATCTGCCACCGAGACCAAGGACTGGAAGAACGCGCCGTACGGCAGGGAGAAGAACGCGACGCCTGGCAGGGGCCTGCGCCCCCCGCAAGCAGCCCGTAAGCGCGCAGGGCAGTCAAGTGAAGGCATACGCAACTTGATTCGCACTTCGACGTAGGTCATCGCCACCTTCGTGGAGAAGCGGGGGTCGCCGGCGATCCGCCGCAGCACGCGCGCGCATGCCCCTGCCAGCTTCTGTAAGGCGCGAGGAGACAAAACGCACGCGTGCAGATTAAAGGTGAGGCGAGAAAGAACTAAACTGCGCATGGACACAAAATTGCATTTGTTATCGATAACGCTAGACCCAAACACTTTGAAGGCGATCGGGGAGTAGACTCCTAAAGCAGACGAGGCACGGTGCACAGCGCTCCGGAAGAGCATGCCTTGTGCCGACATGAAGGTGCCAAGGTGCTTGCACGCGTCCACGATGTGCAGCGTCCTGTGCGAGTAGGTCATGGGGGCGGCGAGCGTGCAATCAGATTTCCGCCATCTCTCCTGCGCCGCGACTGCTCCATTGCCCCGGAAAGCGACGAGGCCCTCGGTTTTGCCCTTTGCCCCAGTTGACCTCCAAGTGAAACGCGCCGAACGCATCGGTGATGATGCCGTGGAGGGCGTCGACCGCCCGGGCGAGCGCCGCGGGCGACTCGGACAGCAGGATGACCACCTCGTCGTCCACGAATGCGGCGTCAACGATGTCCTCCTGTTCAGTGGAGGGAGGACCAACGTCAGCCCAAAAGGTCGCCGGAGCGTCGGGGAGCCGAAGGGTCAAGCCCTCCTGTGCGAGACGCCACTTGAGCATGTCCAAGGGCGGAGTGTACGCCGAATTAAACGCCGTCGAACCGAGCTTGCATCCCTGCCGCCCGCTTGTGAGCGAAGTCGTCACGCGGCCACCTCCCGGGAGCTTGAACCAGGCGCGCTCGTGCAGGGTGCGGGCCATCTCCGCCGCAGAGAGGTTAACGTTCCACTATTTGAACAAGTGGCCTCGCTCCTCGATGTATTTCGCGAGCCGCCGAACTGCGCGCGGAACCACTCCCAGGGCCTCTAGGTGGCCGGGGCGGTCGCTGGGAGGGAGGCCGCCCCAACCGAAAACCAGTTGACGGATGACCTTCTCGACGGCCTTCACCAGGTCCACGAACAGGGGGAAGACGGACGCCTGCCACTGGCGCGCGAGTTCCACAGCAGCGAGGACGATGTGGGAGGCGAAGTCGGCGCCTCTGCCCGCGACGGCGCCGAATTGAGTGAAGGGGCAAGTGCTCGTTGATGGATGGCGCCAGGGCGTCCTTCACGATGCTAGCCAAACCCTTGCCCGCGTGGTCCGCTAGTAGAATGCCCCGGCTGCTGTCGCACACGCGCGCGTCGCCCTTCTGCTTGTGCATGTGGACCAGAAGACCGCCGCGCCATTGCGTCGGCCACTGGTAGGTGTGCAAAACGTGCCGGTTGACGATCGAGAACAAAAACGCGACGGGCTCGCCGCCCGCGACCAGCACCTCCGCAAATACGTTGTCCTCTCCGACGCCTTTGTTGCGACCTAGCCGGCGAAAGGCGGCGGCAGTGGCCGCCGTGCCCGCCGTGCCCACGTCGAGCAGGAGAAGGTCGCTGTGCTCGGCGGCAGACGGCTGGCGCAGGTCAGCGACCGTCGCAAAGCGCCCCCGGAAGACGTCGCGATGCGAAAGTGCCCCATCCACCGGGCGATCTCCTCCTCAGGGGACTGGGTAAGAGTGCCATCCAAGTTGAAGACTTCTGTGTCGGTGGATTGCTTTGCTGCGCCCAGGGCGCGCACGACCGCAAGTTGCGTGCGCATGTCCCCCATGGACGGCGGCATTGTGGGCCTTGATGGCCATGCTGTCCAGAACCTCCTGGCGGTCGCGCCGAAGAGATCCGTTGGCCATCCGCTGGAGCTTCAAGATCACGGCGCGGTAGGTTGCCTCGAATTTGCGGGCGCGCGCCGAGGCGTTTGAAGGAATCCACAGCGACGCCATGCGCAGCGAGAGGCGAAACGAAGCGGCCCTCTCGGACAGCGACTCGGCCGAGGCGGGCCGCTGGAATACCGGCCAACCAAGCGTCAAATGCAGCGCGAACGAACCACTGATGACGCCGTCGGGCCGCTGAGTGCACCAAGCGACGGGTCAGCGCCACGTGCCGCGCAACCTCCCACGTCGTCGCAGACAGCCAAGGCTTGCGAGGCAGGGGCCTGGCCAGTCCGAAGGTCTCACGAAGACTAAGGTGTTGACCTGCTCGAGGCAGTCGTCGACATGAGGGGCCTGTGGCATTGACGACGCTAGGATGCGTTACTGGAACTCGGCCACTTTGCCGGGGTCTGCCATGTAGGTCTTGTCCAACCTCGGAAGGGGAGGCGTCCGAGCGGCTGCACATATGTCTGTTTGTGTTACCCGTAGCACGGCTGACACAGCGTCGTGGTCACGCCATCCATTGAAAGTGAGGTCCAGGTCCGAGTGCACAGTGACGTCGTAGACCCAGTTCTGATGGCTCTGCCGCACAAGGAGATAGTCAACGCGGTGATGTGTCCCCTTCGTGGAATGCCACGTGGGAGAGCTACCAGTGAAGGTGTTGATGGCGACGAGGTTGAGCTGCTCGGAAAAGCCCCGCATGGACTCGCCAGTCTAGTTCTCCGCGACCGCGTCCGCTGTACCAATGGCCTGGGAGGGCACGGAGCCAACGCGCCCATTGGCGTCGAAAGCAACACCCAGCACGCCTGCGGAAAACGTCCCCTGAGCTCCAGGCCGACGGACGTCAGCTCGGACCAGAACGCGAGGCGTTCGTCCTTCGTCGCCACTCTTGTGGGGGCGTGCGCAGAGATCCAGACGTGGACGGCATGGTGCTTGGACACGGTGATCACAAAGAGGAGTCTTGGAGAAACTGCGCGCCATTGAAGCGCCTGATGGCCGAGATCACGATCCAGCCAGAGCTGTGCTCCAAGGCTGCCTCCCTCCTCCGCTGCCGCGGCAAAAGTGGTGTAGTAGACGCCATCCCGTCGAGAGGACTTCGCAGCGCGGCCCTCTTGAAGTCCAACGCAAGCAAAGCCGACCTCGCGGAACTGCTGTTCGAGGAGCTGGACCTTGCTGTTCATCAGGGCCAAGGTGGTGCACGCGTAACTGCGCGTTTCCTGCCACGGCTTCAGAGTCTGAATGTTGGCTGTGGCCACCTTGTAGACGGCGTTCGGCGCGTCTGGCAGCACCACAGCCTGACCGGGATGATGGGGCCACGCGGTCGCGTCTCGCCGGGAATCGCCCGCGTAACCGGGCGGTGCTCGATGGGCGGGGTCGGCGCGACGGCGCCTGACGGACTCCCACCATTTCGCCCGCGCACGGCAATGGGCCAACCGCGGAAGGCGGGGAGTCGTAGAGAAAGACGTGTTGACCTGCTCCGCGTCGGTTCGCAGCAACACGGGGTCAGCTAGGGGCCAGTCATACTGGTCCCAGCTGGATGTCGGAATGGTGGAGCTGCGCGCCGTCGTGTCGCACTCCGTCGTGCTGCTCAGCGTCGCGATGCCTGTGCTCGTCACGCTGCCAAATGGCAGAGCGGCGTAAAGGTCTGGACGCGGCTCCACAGGAGCGCCGAACTGCACGGAACACTCCTGGTCCAAGGCGGCGGGGGTGGAAGAAGAAGGTGATGAAGATGTGCTCGATGAAGTGTCGTCGTCGCCGTAGCTGGCGACCATCTGCTGCGCCATGGAGGTCAGGGAGTCGCCGAACTGCACGGTGCTCACCTGGTCCATGGCTGTTGGGCCCCACATGGTACTGTCGATACCTAGTAGGGCTGGGATGCTGTGCTCGTGGGCGGGCGCGCGGGGCGCCCAGGCGGAGCTGCATGAAACCCCACGTTGCCATCCATGGGAGGAGAGGCGGGGATGCCGGGAGCGCTCGGGTAGAACGAACAGTGGGTCGTGGCCGGGCCCCAGAAAGACGTCTAAGTGAGACTGCACCTTGTGCTTCTTGCAGAACATGTTCGTGACCTCCAGCGTGGGGACGGCGGGAGCCTGTTTGCCGTTGAGCCGCCGGGAGGGGTGCGATGCGGCTTCGACCATCGCGGCCGCCGCGGCGCGCATTGTGGCCTGGAACGTCATGAGGAGATGCTCCGACTGCTGCTGGCATCATCGGCCACCTCCGGAGACACCACCTGGAAGGTTCGTATTTGCTCGACCGCTGCGGCCAGCTGCTCCCCAAAAGACTCGAGGGAGTGTACTGATGCCGCCGGCTCCTGGCCCACCGACGCCTCCAGCTGAGCCAAACTCCTGGGTGAGTTTTGCCTCCTCGGCCTCCGCCTGCTCCATGGTCTTCTGGGCGAACGTCAAGGCGGTCGCTGCCTGCTCCTTGCGCTTCTCGGCCCTGTCAAGGGCCGCTCTCGTGCCGTCCAAGCGCTGACCGAGCGGCTTCATGCCCTTTAGCATTTTGCGTTTGGTGGCCAGCTGCTCCTCCAGGTTGGTCTTCATGTCCTTCATTGTCGGGGAGGTGAGGGCGGAGCTGGCCTGCTCGATCTGCTTGATGACGGCCAGCGTTTCCGCACGCGTAGGTGCCGAGCTCGTCGCCGAAGCGGACGTCATTGGTTCCCCCGCCTCCGCCTTGGGGATGCTTGCTGGAGTTGCGGGGGAGAGGGGCCCCCCAGCTTCCAACAATGTCGCTGCCACCGTGGCGAGCTGTTGGGAAACCGGGTTGGTTGCAGCGCGACGCTGCGTAGTAAGCGAAATGCTGGTAGGCAGACGCTCTCCATGGTGCTGGGGAGCTTGATGCTGATGAGCTGGAGGTGGATGAACATGTCCTCCCGGAGTGCCCTTACTGCCTGGGCGCAGGATTTCTTTAACCCACAGGTCATACAGCGCGTCTCGGGGACGTAGTTCGTGCTCTTGCAGTGCCCACACTGCCACAAGCGCGAGCCAGACGCCGACGGGGGCCACCATGCGCCGTCCGGAGTCAGCACCCATCCCTGCCAAGACTGCTGGTGCGTGGCCGGCGGCATCCAAGAACTTACTGGGAGTACAAGCGGAGAAGCCACACGATGGTGCGGCTGGGCTGGGTTGTAGACTTGCAACCAACTCAAGGGCCGCTCCTTGAGCGTGTCCTTGGGCCAAAAAGGATACGGCCACCGTGCCTCGGGCACGAAGTGGAGTGCCCCAAGGCTCACGCAGCACTGCTGCTGCTGCAGCTAGAACTGTCAGTCTTTAGTGACCCGCACCAGCCGTTTCCCAGGCCGTGATGGGCCGTCCTGGGCAGGACAAAGAGGCCCCAAGAGGCGCACAGGAGGCCCCACGAGGCCCCCAAGAGGTCCCCAAGAGGTCCCCAAGAGGCCCTCAAGAGGAGCAAACGAAGCCCCACGAGGCCCCGAAACAGCCCCCGAGAGGCGTCAAACTTGCCTCCGGGAGGCCTCCGAGAAGCACCCCAAGAGATCCCAACGAACATCCAATAGGCTTCATATCCTCAACCCTGGCACACATTCGGGATGGGCCGAAGGCCATTCGGTATATGTGTGTATATATTGTACATACAAAATATGCATACACATGCACATTTACATTCCCCAAACAACGCTTGCAATTACGGGTTCTTACTTCTGTTATCAAGAACTAGGGCGTGTCTTCGGTCTGGCGGCTATGCGGCCGCCGTCGCCGCCCCGTCGCCGCCTCGTCGCCACCCGTCGTCTGGGCCGTTTCTTCGGTCTGGCGACTATGTGGCCACCGTCGCCGCCCCGTCGCCGCCTCGTCGCCGCCCTAGATTCTCCTTTCTAAAAAACTAATAGATTCCTCCCCCCCCCCCCGGACTTATCAGGTCCCCCGCGCGTGCTGTAAATCGCATATGATTCTGACCACATGTCCATCCTAAATATGAATTCGTACCATCCCGGCCAAGCCGGTATCCCCCCCCTGCGGTTCCCTGTCAAATAACACTATACGGGGACATTTTTCTTTCTAACATAACACTTTTTCGCGAATCCTTTGCAAAAAACGGGACGAAGTGCACACGCGCGCGTCGTCGCGCGCGCATGCCGAAATCCTTCAAAAACCTTCGGTGCCGGAAGGATTTCGCAATCGAGCTTCCGAAAAACATGCAAAAACACATGGTTTCGCAACGCTGATTTGCTAAAAAAACTTCCGCGCGAGCTCTTGCGAAATCTTAAGAAAACCATCGTTTTTTTTTTCAAGATTTTCACAAAATGCTACCAAACGGGCTTCGCGCGCGCGCATGTCGAAATCTGTCGAACGCCCTTGCGCGTGTGCCGTCGCGAGAATCCTCTGCAAAAAACGGGACGAATTGCAGACGCGCGCGTCGTCGCAGACGTATGCCGAAAACCTTCAAAACCCATCGGTTTCGGAAGGATTGCAAAATCGTGCGTCCAAAAAACCTACAAGAACCCAAGGTTTCGCAACACGGATTTTCAACAAAAGCGTGCGCGCGCGCTCTTGCGTCGTCGTCGTCGTCGTCGTCGCCGTCCTCCCTCCTCCCGCGTCGTCGTCGTCGTCGCCTACGTCGTCCTCTGTCTTTTCTCCTGTTTGTCGTCGTCGTCCTCTTTGGCGTCGTGGTCGTTTCCATCGTCGTTGTCGCCGTGGTCGTCCTTCCTCCTCCTCCCACGTCGTCGTCGTCGTCCGTCGTCGGCGTCTCATCGTCGTCCCTCCTATGTCGTCGCCGTCGTCGTCGTCGTTGTCGTCGTCGTCTTCCCTCCTCCCTCGTCGTTGTCGTCGTCGGCGTCGCCGTCCTTCCTCCTTCGTCGTCGTTCGCGTCGTCACCGTCCTCCCTCCTCCTTCGTCGTTGTCGTCGTTGTCGCCGTCGTCGTCCTTCCTCCTTCCTCGTCGTCGCCTTCGTTGGCGTCGTCGTCGTCGTCTTCGTCGTCGTCGGCGTCGTTGTCGTCGTCGAAGTCGTCGGAGACGTCGTCGGTGTCGTCCTAGTCGTTGTCGTCGGTGTCGTCGTAGTCGGTCTTAACAGGTTTTGCAAATCAAGTTGCGGGTGGGTGGGTGGGATGTTTGCGCGAGCAGTGGAGATGACGACTTCAAGTTCCGCAGAGTGGTTATTGTATAACGTAGATTCTCCTCTCTGAAAAGAGAATAAGTACCACCCCCCTCCCAGGATTATCCGTTCCCTTCTTCGCATTGTAAATTACATATGATTATGCCTCATCACCCATCCTAAATATGAATTCGTTCCATCCCAGCCGAGGCGGTATCGACCCCCCCCCCCGCCGCCATCGTTTGCAACAGAAATTCCATGCGCGCGCACTCGCTTATAAATAATCAAAGGTTTGCAAAAACCCCTTGCAACTAACGAGACGAAGTGCACACGCGCACGTCGCCACGCGCGCACGCCAAAATCCTTCAAAAACTCGCGGGTTCGTAAGGATTTCAAAATCGAGTATTCAAAAACCATATATGATTTCGAAGCACGGGTGTAAACAAAAAAACGTGCGCGCGCCTTTGCGATTTTTTCCAAACCAAGAAACAACAACCGTATCTTCAACTGAATCATAACATGCTACCCAACGGGATTCGCGCGCGCATGTCGAAATCGTTCGGACGCCTTTTCGCGCGTGCTGTCGCGAGAACCCTGCAAATAGACGAAGTGCGCACGTGCGCCTCGTCGCGCGCGCCCCCCGGAATCCTTCAAGAACCCTGGGTTTCGACGGGGCTTTACAACCGAACGTCCAAAACACATTAAAAACCATGGTTTCACAACATCCGTTTTCAAAAAAGCATGCGTTCTTGCTCTCGCTCTTGCGAACACGTTCAAGGAATTCTGCCAAACGGGCTTTTCGCGCCGCATGCCGAAATCATTCGAACGCCCTGGCGCGCGTGCTGGGGGGGGCGCACAATCCGTGTCAAACAACACCATGCGACTACTCTCGCGCGTCGGCCGCGCGCGCATGTCAAACTCCTTCCAAAACCTTCATCGCCGACGCGAAGGCGCCGTCATCGTCGTCGGTGTGATCAACATCGGCGCCGTCACTGGCCCTGCCGTCGTCATCGCCACCTTCGTCACCATCGCTACTGTCATAATTGTGTCTACCGTTGTCGGCGCCGCCATGACACCGCGCCCGCCCAAGTCACGGTTTCGCATTGAAGTGCCCGCTGGGAAGTGCCAAGCGGTCAGCGCCACCGCGGCCGCGTCGGTCGCGCCAAACTAGCTGGCCGCTGCGCGCGCGAGCATGAGCGGGCTAGCGTGGCCGCAGAGACGCACCAGCCAACGCCAAGCACTCATCGCAATCGCCGCCGCATGGGATTTGCAAACCACGTTACGGGTGGGTGGGTGGGATGTGTTCAAAGGCGTTGGAGGTGGTCAAGCGGGGTGGAAGGTAGTCGATTGCACCGCATAGGTGGCACCACGAAGATTGCACCGCATACGCTGCTCAACATAAACTGCACCACGTAGCTTGCACAACATAGCTTGCACAGCAGAGGTGTCGCCGCATAGATTGCACCAGATTGCGCAACGTTGATCGGACGAACACGATGTCGGGATCACGATCCGCCAATGCAGACTACTCGTCGGACCTGCGCGGTTCCTGCACTCACCCTCCTTCCTGCTGCGCAATTGCACAAGCGCGGTGACGGGGCTTGCCGCAGGCAGCTGGGTATATACGAATGCTTAAGTTACACGTTGCTAATACACGCGTCGGTAAGTGTGCATCCATGTGTCCGAGTACACATCCGTACATGCATACCTGTACACATGTAATCGTACACGCCGCCTGCATGCGACATTCGAAAGATCAAGGTGCATGTAACGAAACGCAAATGCGTGTTTGTATACATTTGCGCATGTATGTAAACATATGTATGTAAGCACTGTCTATATTTACACATAGTCATGCATATGTCTATATATATGCATGCATACGCGCGTATAATTGCATGAGGCAGCAAACTTGTGTGGATTCAGGTCGATCATGGGAGACATGTTTATATATGTGTATATATTCATACATATATATATATAGCGCACGGCACTCGTGCAACACAACATCATACGTAAACATCTTTACGCAACTACGATGGGCGCCACGATGTAAGGATCGATATAGGCATAGGGACCTAGGGTATGGGGTACAAGATATAGATATTGAGAACGGGACAGGGATTGGAAAGCAGGGATCGCGATACGGATAGGGAGACATTGGCAGACAACAGCAGACAATGGGAAATGGGAGGCTACAAGAGATAACGGGATACAAAGGGAAACGCGGGGAGACAAGGGGGGCAAGTGGGGAGACAACGGGACAAGGGGAGACAACGGGAGGCCTCGCCGCCCCACCGACCCCAGAAGTGGCGAACCACCCACTAGGCCTCCAACAGTTGTGCGTAGAATGTGTGCGGCAATCTGTTGAAGGGCATGTCGATACATCATGCACGCGCTGTCACACCGGTGGCGGAACACTTGCAGGAAGATCGAGGAAAGACGGAGGAAGGAGGGAACGCAGCCTTGATATTGAATGCATGCGCTGTCACGCCAGCTGGGGGAGCACGTGCAGAAACTGCTCATGGTCGCGCAGGCAGGGCCTCAAGCTCGATTACGTTGCTTTCATTACTGAAGAGCTTCCGAGCCACCTTTGAGCCTATTGACGGACGCATGGTAAAGATGCAGTTTCGTGCGTCTTTGGATGCCATTTTTTGGAACCCTCTCAGGGGCTTGCATGGTCATCTTGGGAATCTCGTGGGGCTGGTTTGGGTGCCTCTTGGGCTGTCTTCGGGCCCTCACAGGGCCGTGGCGAGGCCGTCTTGGCCCAGAGGCCGTGCCGTCTGGTGCCGTCTTGTGCCGTCTTGTGCCGTCTTCGGCTGTCGGAAGCCAGGAAGAGCGAAAACATAAACATTCTTCAAGCGCCTCAAGAACATCAATTTATTTGGCCTCATCAAGGCCTTTCTGGGGCGCGCCGGGGGCTCTCCTGGGGTGTCCTGGGGATCTCTTGAGCCGTGCTGAGGCCATCCTGGGCGCTCTTGGTGCATTTTCGGACCGTCTTCGGCTCATTTTGGTTCCTCT